CTAAAGTCAGACAGATGTACATCAGTACAGTGAGCCCATTGATCATCAGTTCTTCTGGCAAGCAGAAACACATCAGATATTTGCTTTTTAGAGCTCAAACACAAACATGTCTTCCAGTAGCTATAGCTCTGATTTTGTAGATGCCTCAACTGGTGGTGACAGTGATTTTAAGACACATGGACTCAGTTTGCACCTGACTTTAGGTGATGTTTAGAGACATTGCAGCTGAGCTCCCACCATCATCCACACATGCAGTCACTCCTGTTCTGCCTTACCTCAGAAAAGCTGAATGAAGTGAGCTCCCTGTTGGCCAAGACAGGCTGTAAGGTTCTGCAAACTTAGCACCGTGATTATGTCCTTCTGTTATAGTGACACTTGATCCGTTCAACCTCCCTATTGGACAGAGGTCGGGCTTGAAGACACGTCCGTCCCTGTCATGGGGCAGGATCCACATCTTCAGTGTGCACCCACGCCCTACACAAGTGCTCAATAAGGAGATGGAAGGCTCGAATGCTAAGGAGGGAGGTTCTAGTTTGGTGAGAGCAATGGAGAAGATGCCTGCAGGATGCTATTCTGGTGTCGCTGCATTAGGCAAGCAAATTTCATCGAAGCGGGAGATGGGCGCTGATCATCAGGGAGAACAGCAGGTGGTGCTTCAGAAACAAATCCAGACAAGCACAATGTACAGTTTACATGGAAAAATAAGAACATTCAGAAGATTTGTTTAGACCAAAATTTCAATCAAAGTGGTGAGATTGAAAACCATTTTGATTGAAAACCAAGAACAACCTATTGTTCTTGGTTTTCAAGAACAATAGGTTGTTCTTCTCTATTGGTTGTTCTCTATTGGTTGTTCTTTAATTGTATGTTCATTTGTGTGTTTCTCACAGTGATACTGATGGCAGAGATTTTGATTTGACAGTAGTTTACATCCTTCATAGCCGACATCACGTTAGAGGTCCTGTTCTCCTACCGTTGTTTTTGAATAAATTCAGGTCTGACAGAAAGCAGCAGCAGAATTTGATTTGTATTTCTGATGAGCTGCAGCTTGAGTCATCCAGGAAACTCATCAGTGGACTATTGCATACAGCGGGGCTTTGTAAGATCTTCTCACATTGAAGTTGACCTTGCCTTCCACCAGATGGTGCTGTAATAACAGAATTCAGACCAGGAGTCATAGCTCATGCCAATGAAGCCTAGTAGTAAAAAGAGAAAAGGGAACAAACTGGGATCTTGGCTATTAGAAAACAAGGAGAAATGCTTCACATTTGAATAATGCCAACACCATCAGTCTTGTGCTCAGTTTAACAAGTGAAGTATTTCCTAAAATTTTAAGAAGATGAGGGCAGGTTTTCATACTAACTGACTAAATGTGGTCTCTCGTAGCTGTCATTGAGGCTGATGGACTGAGGGAGACGGCAGAATGTGAGAACTTGACAAGTCATTGCTGTGGAACACAGTGCCATAGTGCAGTGGTGGTGTGTGAAACTGGGACTGATTTTCTATAGTTATTACTGATTTGAAATGAAAAAAAAACCCTCTCCACTTCAAAATGGAAATATTTCACATTAAACATTAAATTTATTTTAATATAAATTAAGGATCTAAGAAAGAGAAAAACATCGCCTCTGGTTGGTAACTTGGTGGAAACCAGAAGAGTCCTCCTTCTTATCAAAGAATACACTCAGGATTTCTAAAATTGATACTAAAACTGTATCTATTCTGCACTTGTATGGCAACAAAAATGACTTAAAAAGACTACCTTGATTCAGTTTTTGCTTTTAGAGTTATCAAAAATATTAGCTTCATCTAAACTTTTAATTTGCCATGATGTTGGACCCAATCCCAACAAATTATTTAAAGCATTCCCTTTGACTTCTGCACTCATTTTATATATGATTCTGTTGAAAGTCACAAATAATATTCTCTTGGCCTCAGATAATGAACTTGTATCTGTTTTGGTTGCTTTAGACACAACTGATCAAAAATAATCCCATAGAAAGTGTTAAATATGTCGCAGAGATCAGGAGAAGAGATTTAATCTCATTTGTCCCACAGATTCCAGTTTGTTGATGTAAATGAGACAGAAGTTGTTCTCTTTGTAGCAGACTCTGAAACATAAACTGCTTCGTCAATCACTGAATCTGGATGACATTAAACTGGCCTCCAATAATAAAGGTGATAAAGTCTGTGTTTGACCCAAACATGTCAGTGAAATCTTCTATTAAACAGGTTTTGAGAATTTCCTTCTTTCATATTCAGAATATCAACAAAACTGTAAACATCTTGTCCTGAGGTGATGCTGAAAAACATCTCCATGCATTTGTTACTTCAAGACTAGGCTGCTGTAATTCTTTACTGTCAGAAAGTTCATAAGATACAATTAAAAGCCGTCAGCAAATCCAAAATACTTCAGCGAAGGTTCTCATTACAATTAAAAGGAGAGATCATATTTCTTTTATTTTAGCTTCCCTTTATTGGCTCCCTTATAAATCCAGAATAGAAGTTAAGGTTCTCCTTCTTTCATATAAAGCCCTTAATGATCAACTCCATCAGACATCCGTTCATATGTTCCTAACAGAACACTTTGCTCTGAGACTGCAGATTTACTCCTAGACTTTCAAAATGTAGAATGTGAGGCAGGTCCTTTAATTTTCAGACTCGTCTCCTGTGGAACCAGCTCCCAGACTAAATGTAAAACTTTCCTTTTCCTTTCTGAGTAGCTGGAGTTTATCTGAAACTTGCTGCTGCTCACTCAGAACTGTTTGCAGGTTCTGCCTGGTTCTGGGCTGCTGATCCACTCTGCCAGCTGGGAGAGCTCTTCCGCTCCCCAACATGTTACTAGATGTAACTCCTGCACACAGTGACACTCTGCTTATTTTAGTTCTAAGTTGGCTTAGTTACCACATCTGTCACCTAGTGGCGGATCTAGAGCATTTTACATTGGGGAGGGGAAATGGCCTGGCCAGGGGGGCAACGCTGAACCTCCTGGGTGAAGTATGTGAAAATCCTCTGTATGTAAAGTGAGTCAAAAAAATGTTCACAAAAACACCTAAGGTATTCTTCTAAGAAAACAAATACAAGTTTTAGGTGGCAATGTCCCTTGACTCATCTGCTATAATAAAAAAATGCTCACTTTCTTTAATCCCGTGCATTCACTTTCCAGATAAACATCACAGCAAAAGTTCAAGTTGAAAACTTTTGCTGCTTTATTTGACATTTTTGCGATTTAAGGCATCGAATTTGCTCACAAGATCTCATGAAATACCTTGTTTATTTAGTGATTTAATTACTGGGTATATAATTAGTAAAACAAAAAAAAAGTTAAATAATTGAACAAAATAGCCAAATAGATGTTATAATATGGTGCTATGTTATATTCTATTCACCAAACAAGTCCAATTACTTGTTTATTAAGGTAGCGATCAGAACCAGGGTTGGGCAGGTGATGGGACTCTTAACAGGTCAGCCTTAGATTATTATATCAGTCACAGGGTTTTTTATTTTGCTAACCTCAGAAGAAGACAATATTTCTAATGGTACAGGAAGTGTTTAAACACAAAGATGGCAAGAGACCGAAAGTGGCTCACATAGTTTAAAAAAACAAACAAAAAGAAAAACATGTACTCCTGTGTATGCACTACATGTCACTACACACTGCACTTCATCACCTGAAGTGCAGTGATGAAGTGTCAAATCCACTTAAGCAATCTTAAGTTGGATGAAGCATCATTGCTATTACTGTAATTTGAATGGTGTATTGTAGCCGGTGTTAAGGAAGATTTCTCTGAATTAGTTAATTTTGGAAAAACGTTTGGCTCTTTCTCTTCCTTTATGATCCCGGGTTCTCCGGGCGGGCCACGTGTAGCCACACAAAAACAACAATGAGTGCAGACGTCACAGAATTGCAGTTTAATCCAATAGAAGACAACGCATAAAATTACAACAGAAACTGCAGAACAACAGAAACATACATTCATTTACCTGACAGACATGGAAAAAAGAAGGAAAGAAAAGAAAAGCAAAGATGTCCAAAGACGTCACTGAATTGCAAGAGCAAATCTAATTTTTTACTTCTGTGTAGAAAGTTTTATAGTGAAGGCGTATTCTTATCTTTAATTCATTCAAATAAAGCGTATCTTTGCTCATCCAACCAGGAGCTATCTCTGACCCTCTTTCTAAAGCCAGGAACTCCTGCTGTGTTTACGGCCTTTCACAGATGAGTGTGAAAAGATAGAACTTCTACTGTATTGTTTTCCCACACAGACAAAAGGCAGTTCAAACAATCCTAGCAAACCATCTGCTGTAACTACAGTTAACATCAAGGTCAAAAAGCCAGAATACATTACTGATTTTAAAACCACAATTAGGCTATTTGAATCAAGACATGTTAAGTTTTAAAACTAGCTTATTTTAAATTTATTTTCTTAATACCAGTCATGATTAAAATATCATAAAACCTGATTCTGCCTCACACAGCGTCAGGTTAGTGATGATATAATACAGTGTCAAATTAGTATCTGAATTTAGACTTATGATCACTTTCCCTCTGTTTCGCTCCTTTCCAAATCAAGATCCTTGATTAATTGTGCCTTGAGAAAACATTACTGCATTTAAACATACGTTTAATTAAATTTGTCTGCATTTTTTTTTACTGTCCTTGAGGAAACTGAAATATTGAGATATACTGTTTTGGGGAAAAATGTGTTATTCCAAATTCTCCTCTTCAAAGAATAGCACTCTGACTGAGTTAGACTGATTAGTGCTGGACTAAGCTGGAATTGAATGAACTGGAAGAGCCTGACATTGTATATTATTGTTGTAATATTCTTGAGATAACTTCTTTTGGAAAATGGCCCAGCTGAAAGAACATCTGTAGCGTTTAAAGTTTATTTTTATTTTCTCAAAGACCTCTAGGTGGCCTTCAAAGCTCACTCAGAGCTCTGTGTTTGTAAAAACTGGGTGTTGGCCTGTTGGCTACGTCTCGCCTCAACTTTCTTTGTGGTCACAATGTTGCTGCAGCTTCTGAGCAACCCACAGCGCTCAAGGTTTATTTTTGGAATGCCATGGCACCCGTTCCTTCCATTTGTAGGAAGGGGGGTCGAGTTGGTCTCAACATGAACCTGCCGTTCTGACACTCCGGGCTGGGACAAGCAGGCAGCAGCTGGCCGGCCACCCCCAAGCAGCAGTCCTCCAGGTAACAATTCCCTTCAATTACACCTTTTAATTTCCAGACCAGAGAAAAAGCATTATGTTACAGTGGCAGCTGCTGTTGGATACTTGCTGAGACCTTATGTGTATGGAAGGGTAACTTTTGTTGTCCTCTGCAAAACTGAAGCACTGTCAGGGTTACGATTGCAATGTTTCAACCCCCCTGTGGCTTTAGCACACATTTTTCTATTGATCATCTGTCCAGGTTATAACATAGTGTAGCATTCACTTCTAATTTTAATTGAACAGCTCTAATAAATGCTCACTTTCCACCTTTACCATTAATTAAAACACTGTCCTGTCCTGCCAGGGGAAACCTGCCTGGAGCGCTTTAAACTCCACCAATAAGTTCTTCGCCTGGTAAGTCATTTACCTCTAAACTTATTGCTTGACATAAAATCTGTAGCCTGAATTCTTGCGCATGAGCAGGTAATTTCTGTTTGAGTTTTTTGTTGCACAGCTATTATTAGACTTTCCTCTTTTGAACCTGTGTCCTAAAAGAACTACAAATGCCAACACTAGCAGAGCCTTAAAAGGAGGAATGAGTGTCTCATGTGTCAGGCTGACGTCTAAGTGCAGAAGGGGGAGCTGGGAGAGTTCTAAACATTTACCAGGTTGTACCTATAAATTACCATGGTGACACATAGTGAGATAAGGCTAACAAACACTGAACTTAATTATGCTAGAACCTTAAGCTGCCCGGATGGTTCTCTAATAACCTGAGCTGGTAAATCAGGGTTAAGACTGGTGACACAATGTTCTGCCAGTGTTACACATACAGAGTGTTATTTCTTAGGCCTAAAATAATAACTCCCAGGTTGTGTGCCAAAGCTGCATGTTCATGGGACATTCGTGCCTAATTGGCCCTCATGTTTTCCTCGGTGACATCACGTTTCAAAGGTGTTATCCAGTGTCAGTGGGGCGTGAGATCATAAGGCATAATGAGCGTTCACTTTCAGCCTGTTATAAATTAAAAAAAGCAAACACCTGATTGGCAGTTAGTCACAGTCCAATAATACGTCCCACGTCAGTATGTAAAATATTTATTACAAGATAGAACCGACTGCTAAAACAATTGAAATGTACAGAGGATATGCACTTGTACATTTGCTTTCCAGCAGGTGATCGTACTCTTGTGACAAAGACATTGTTTATGGGGGAAGCTACATCTGGAATAATCAATCAAAACTGCATCATAAAATTCTGATTTAATATCAAACATAAATTTTTTTAAGTCTACTGTGGCTCTCTAGTGTTTAACATGAATGCAGGGACATCAGGAGTACAGCTCTTCTTCATCGTGCTGTTCACATTTTGACATCATGAGACCAGGACAACACGTAAGAACTGATCCACAGTAACGTGGCATTGTGAAGGTCGAGGATGTTCTCTGGCAAAATTGGCCCCTGAGCTTAGAGTGTCACCAGCAGGCTGCAACAGAGATACAGAAAGACCGGACATCCTTTGACCACATCCCACACAGATGACCTCTTCATTGTGAGGAGTGCCCTGAGGAAGTGGATGATTAATGCCACTCAAATCTAAGCAAATTTAGATGAACTGAGAATCACCCAAATGTCAGGTCAGAACATTGAAAACCGTCTACATTAGCATGGTTTGTGTGCTAGACGACCTGCAAGATAACTGAGCACATCATCAGGCAAAGGCGCCATCGTCTTGCATTGACCAGAGACAATTTTTTAAAAGATGTTTTGTATATAGTGGCTTTTACTGAACAGCAAACTGACAGTTAGCTTCTGCACAGGGTGTGTGAGGTCTATCAGCTGAGCCACCCAGAACTCTGGCAGGGGAACTCTGGACCAGTGGGCTTCAGTGCTGAACAGAAACTATGGCCGCCAGAGATGTGGAAACATCAAGAAGAGCGCTGTGCATCAGCCACTGTTGTCACCAGATGAACCTGGGTGGTGGTGTTAGAGTGTGGACTGGTGTGTCCAGTCAATAAAGGACTGCCCTGCACTACCCATACTACCTGAGTAACATCATTAGTTCAGTCATGGTGTCCCTGTATGTTGAACAATCTCATCATCATGGAAGAGAATGCTCAAGGTCACATCATAAGAGAGTGATTGCTGGTCACTGGGGTTCTTCAAAGAAGAACCTGGACATTCTACAGCCCTGAATCCTACAGAAGCCTTGTGTGATCAGCTGAGTCGCCTTGTAATAACTTGTAGTTTTGGACACCAGAAGCTCAATGATCTGAGGGCCGCCCTTCATGAAGAAAGGCCATGCCTCAATAAGTCAATTTATGAACAGCTCTTCAAGCTATAATTGATGGTCAAGGGCACATGACATGTTATTAAGACTTTGACATATTTTGTTGTAACATATCCACCGCTGTTGTTTTGTTTTAATACATTGTTTGAAATGAGGAAATCACCATTGCATGCTAGTGCTTAAATATACTTAAATACTCTACTTTTGTGATATAATATCACAATACTCTATATGTTTCCAGAAATTTCAATGGCAAAACATCCCTAACTTTTTGTGAGTACTGTATATACAGCTCTGGAAAAATTAAGAGTCCACTGCACTGAACCCCATTTGTTATTGCACCAAATCTTGATTTCTGAACTCTTCCCAAGTTAAAACATTAGTATTGTTGTTTCTAAATGAATATGAACTCATTTTATTTGCATTGTTTGAGGTCTGAAAGCACTGCATCTTTTTTCTTATTTTGACCATTTCTCATTTTCTGCAAATAGATGAAAAAATTTTTGTTTGGAATTTCATTCATAAAAGAACAATGTTCATTTTACTCAAACATAAAAAGTAAAATCAGAGAAACTGATCATTTTAAGTGCTTTCATATCTTTTCCAGAGCTCTATATTTATATGTATTTGTATACATATACTGTCACCTCAGACCAAAGGGACTTATGTTTAAAGTCTTTTTCTTTGAGGGGAAAATATTATCCAATTTCTTCTCAAAAACACAGATTTTGTTAATTAGTGGATTTTACATTGAATACTGGACAGAGTTTGAGATCACTGGTGGTTTGTGTTGGCCTTATATTTACAGGCTGTTCCGTACAGTACACGTGAACAAAAAAAAAAGAAAAACATTTTAAGCATGGGAAAATAGCAATTATTTTGTAAAGTGTTATTAAAACATTTGAATGTTTTAATATGGTGAATGTTGTAGTTGTTTGACACAATGGGCATAATAAAAACAGTTGACATATTAGAAGAATAGATACTGATTTTATTTAATATTTTCAAAGTGGCATAAAAATAAAAGCAAAAAAATCTTGTTGAAACGGAATAAAAGTAAAAGCATATTGAGACAGAAGCAGAAATGTATCAACTAAAGCATACATTAGTGTTCAAAGGTGTAAATATTAAGCTAAATATCATAAAGTCAAATTTCGATAAGCAAATGTCCACCACAATTGTCACAACTATGCACTGAGTACTATTTATGATTCTTACATCCAGTTAACAGCAGTTCTTTATAGCTAAACCAAAATGTTTACCAAAATTAAACCAAACTAAACATTTGTTTTAGGATAATTAGGATTTCCAACATTATTAACTGTTTATAAATGCCAGAGTAATGAGTCAGAGATTATTCTGTAACTTTCTTCAAATTCAGTCATTTACATGTTTACTTTTATATAATTTTTTGAACTGTATGAGTTGGGTCGGTTTGGGCCTTCCACAAGCTTGCTGGCATTTCAGCAAGCCTGCTTTGGAAAGGTGGTCAAAGGTTTGAGGGAGTATCAGATGGCTATTTTTATATATGTATTTAACACACTTTGTAACCAGTACATAACTGGTATGACTGGGTTCATTGTCCACTTAGAAGACTATTTTGTTTGCAGGTTTAACTTCCTTGCTCTGGTCTGGAGGTGAGACGTTAATTGTTTAAATTACTCTTCTTTTCTTGTGATGCCAACTTTTTTTTTGTGCAGATCATCATTTCCTCCCAAAATGCATGAGATATCATGGTGTCAGCCTCTTACATCATGGTTGATTAGTTGTTCTCAGGATTTCAGATTTTGCCATTTTTACTCCAAATGTAATGATGGCAATTTTACAGTTTCATTTTAGTTTTATCAAACATGAGTGAGTTTGAAAACTGTAATCTGACTCCTCAGTAATGGCCTCCTCCTGGCTGAGTGGCATTACAGGCCTGTCTTCCCTCTCACTGCTTTGACCAGACAGCTGGATATTAATGTAGTGTTTATGCTTACATATAATTATTTCAACATTTGAATGTGGCACGCTCATGCATCTGGAGATTGTTCCCAAACTGTGAACAATCTCCAGCATTGCGAAATTGGTCCACAATTCTCTTCCTACTTAGATTTTCATGTGATGTTACATAAGTAAGTTACAATAACATGGAATTTTGCTTAAAAGCACAATAATGTAAGGAATTTATTTAAAAAATGCCTAAATCAAAATAGTTCTAGCAAAAAAAAAAAAAAAAAAATCAAAATAAAATTCTGGTAAACTTTGATGAGAAGCTTGTGGAAGGATGCCCAATATTACATAACTTATACAATTGAAAAAACTATTCTACCAAGTCCTGAGGAAATGGATAGAAATGTCTGAATTAGAAGAAAGTTGTAAAAATAAATATTCCCATTATTTTTCTGAAATCTATCAACAAGAAAAAGTTTTGGTAATCCTAAGTGGCCAAAATAACAAAACATTTATTCAGATTTAATGTCATACAGTAAAATGGTTGTGTCTTTTTGTACAGTGTGTAACATCTAATGTCTGCTTTTAGCTATGGCTGGTGCTCAGAGTTTTTGCAGTTTTGATTGTCGTCAAGCTAAAAAGTGCTGAACAGGTCAAACATCGATGTGATCCATTTACTCGAGATGATTCAAACTGTAAACGTTTTACAAATGATCATCTTGAACAGATGAAAACTAAAAAAATAACTCACATTAAGATAGGCTCATAATGGTAAAAACAGAAAATAGGAAGATGTAAAGAGGATCACACAACTATGACCATCACATATTTGTGTGGGCTTTAATTTTTAATATGTACGATTGAGTCCAAAATCAGTCATACCCCTGACAGATTTCTGAAAGTCTTTCTCCTGACTGGAAGCAGGGTTAGGGTTTAGGGTTAGGGTTTTTGTAGGCTGCAGCAAGCATACCAACATGAATATGATTGAGACTCTCTGGGCGGAGCTTAAGATGATGGAGGGCATCCAAGCTTAAAGACTTGGAGAATATATCTGCAACAAATCAGTGGAAAGATGTGAAAAGATACTAATCAATTTAAGGAACGTGTGAGTGCGAATAAAGATTTTTTTCCACTGCTTATTGAGAAAGGTTTGCATTTTCAACATACCAGGATTTTAATGAAATAAAAATAAAAAAAATAATTTACTTAGCCTAAATCTGCCAAGGGTATATATATTTTTGGGCCTGAGTTTGGAGCTGTATGTGCATTTCCTTTAGAGATGGTCAGAAAAAATAGAGACTTTCCAGTTGCAGAGTTCCTGCATCAGCATTTAAGGTGTTGCGAGATCACAAAGGCAACAGAAGAGGAAGGAAATGCTTCCTCAGCAATCACTGTAACACAAACCTGCAAAAGGAACAGAGGAAAAAGATTAGATATTAAAAATGTGAAGCTTCTATTAACCTGATGTATTTTGAAGATAAGTTCTGTTTGAAAGAAAAACTGAGCTTATCTGCTTCCAACTTTTAGAGTATTCAGGATTAAGTTAGTAAAAGAGGAAAGAGATGATGATGTTATAGGCATTAAAAAAAGACAATGTGTTTAATGTGCCGTCCCCTCTGAGCAGCTGCTTTGCGGTTAACACTTCCATTTAAATGACTTGCATTTGAAAACATAAAACAATGAACAATTGTGAAACTTTAGGCAAAGTTTTAAGAATGCCTTGTCTCTTTGTCTCAATAGGGTGCAGAAGCATTCATGTCTGTTGCTTATGGCACTATCCACCAGGTGGGCCTGTTTTCCCAGCAGTACCCTCCACCACTGCTGCCCAAGCCTGGAAAAGACAATGTCCGTCTACAGAAACTCCTCAAAAGGACTGCAAAGAAAAAGGCCTCCACCCAGACTTCACAGTCTGCAACACCTTTCCGGTCAAGCCTTTCCCCTGTAAATGAGGCAAGCGCTGACCTGGAGCGCAGTGACCACTCAACTTCCCCTCAAACACCAGAGACACTCCCTCGACTCCACAGCATCCAGCAACCCCCACGGTTCACCGTCAGGCCACTGTATCAGCATGTGCCGTCCCCTTATCCGCAGAGGGCAGCTTTTGGTCGAGCAGTTAGCATGTCACCTCCCATGGTGGCCGCCCCTTCATGCACGTACTCACACCATGTCACAAAAGTGTCATTAAGTTCTGCTTCAAATCAGGTTTCCAAAGTCTTAGCCTCTCCAGGAGAAGCAAAGCAATCACTGCCATACTCCTTTGTGCCCGAGGTAAGCATACAAACAACTGAACTGAAAACATTTACTGAAAGCCAAGCTGGTTTGAGACCTACCCCTTATGTCGGTACCCCACATTCAAAAATCACAAGTTCAGCTGCAACTCAACATCCGGTACCAGCGGGTCAACCTGTGGTTCGGCCTCTTACGGTGTTGACCCCACTCATAAAATCTAAAAGTCCACGTCCAACATTTAAAGCAACTGAGCCTTCAAAATCACCAAAGCCGATGTTTGAAGTGCCTCAGATTAGGATGTACACAGCAAGCACATCTTATTATGAAACATCCAGGACACCTCCAGTGTACGACACGGCTGGATTAACTGCTATTGGCAGCATAGTACCTCAAAGTAAAACATTAGCAGAAACAAAACAAGAAGTGCTCACAGCATCAGAGACCAGAGGAGGGAAGGTGACAACGACAACAATGCAGCCTCCTTTATTAGACGTAGATCCTGGTAGAAAGACTCCAACATCAGAAGTAAAAGGAGCTGGCCCAAAGGCTGAAGTAAGAAGAGACACTCCAACATTAGAAACCCAGCGAGTCACTCCAGTGTCAGAAATCAAACGAGGAATTCCAACTCCAAACATAGAAACAACAAGACCAACTCAAACAGTTGAACATAAAACCACCACTCCAACATCTGAGGTCAGAGTTCAAACACCAACTTATGAGCTTCTGTCATCCAGGCGACCTAAAACTCCAGCATACCACATTAGCCGAGCCGCAACCCCCGTCTTTGAAATCTCACGACCCAATCCTCTTTTGTTCGCGGTGTCGCCAATCACAGTGGATCCAGAGAGGTCAAGGTCACCCCAAACGATTTCTACTGTGAGCACTTCATTGCCCTCTCTTAATCTGAAGACAACAGAGCTTCCTGAAATTTTACTAAATGGGGATGTCCACTCTGATGTGACACCTGCAGACAACTCTATAAAACAAAGTATTACAAAGTCAAAATCAGAGTCTGATCTGACAAGAAAAGTGACCTCGGTTTCAGCAGTTGGCTCTCAAAGAGCTGTAACTCCTATATCTGTGTCGGCAATACAAGTAGCCACTGCCTATCAAAGGCCAAAAACTCCAACTTATGAAGCCTCTCGCCTTTTGACCACATCACCAGGCTACAAAAAGCAAAAGATGTTAACATCATCTATTTCACATGTGGCCTTTCAGAGACCTAAAACCCCAGACTCTCAAAAGTCAAAGTCTGCTTACCGTGGACTTACACCAGCTGAGTATGCTGCTTACGGTGGAATCAAAACATATTCACCTGCATTTGGCATTACAACCTCAGTGATACCAACAGAAGATGAGGTTAAAGTTGAAAAGGAAGTTTCAAAACAGAGTAGCCACAAAGCAACTGTAAAGGAACAATCAACGGTTAAACTTCCTGAAAGACAGGACACCTCTAGATGTGAAGAAAAGCTGGACCAGAGTCATGCAAAGGCTGGTTCCAGTGTCACAGTCCCAGTCATTGTGGTTTCAACACCATCTGACTCAACAGGAACAATATCAATACAAGATCCATGTACAGCAATGAGTTCAGTTGCAGCAAAACAAGCGGCAATAGTGACTCAAGAAATGCCAAAAGTGGTGGCTGTGCCTTCTGAAAACCAGAAGGAAGAAACCACAGAAACTACACTGAGAAAAATAAAAGATCCTCTTCTAAAAAGTGGCGACCAAGATTCCCTGAAGGTTGTAAAAAAGCTTTTGAGTAGAGGGAAGGCCCAGACTGATGAGGAAAAAGCAAAATCTGATGTAAAATCTGACAAATCTGTCATCATAGAACCAAAGACACCTATTACACAGATTAAGCATGAAAGTTCAAAATCACTTCCTGCTGATCCTACTTCGCCTGTTGAGTTAACTGAAAGGAATACAAAAGACAACACAGAACCATGTTCACCAGATAAATCTGACAAAAAGGGCACTAATGACTCCCCTGCAGCAGCAGCATCTCTTCTTAATGTCATGCAAAAGTCAAAGGGCATGAAATCAAAACCGAGCGGGTGGTTGCGACTAAAGAAACACATGGTGGTGGAACAGGAGGAACCAAAATTCCCAGAGACAGGTTCTCAAGCTGAGATCCAAGAACAGGACCAGAGTGAAGAGATGAGGGTAGAAGAGAAGCCAAGTGGTCATGATGAGAAGCTAGTTACACCCAAAGACATAGACACTCCAAAGGCAACCAAGATGTGGGACGCTGTCCTCTTCCAGATGTTCTCCTCCAAAGAGAATATCATGCATCAGATTGAGTTAAACAAAAGTGAAGATGAAAAAAATGAGGAGAAAAGCAATGAGCAGAAGGAGGTCCCTTCATTTGCGTTTAGGCTACCGGTGTTGCTTTTCAGCCCCAGGTTTGATGCTAAGAAGCTGAAAGAAGCAGCCTCAAGACCAGTATCAAAAATCTCTGTTGTGTTTGAAATGGGTCTGATTGGGCGGAAAGGTAAAGAAGAGGAACCAAAAGACTTTAACAGGAAGGCCAGAGGGTTTGCTGCTTCTTAAAATATGCCTGATGTGAAATGTCCAGATTAAACTGTGGGAAAAAAGCTCAACTTGTTCTGTAAGTTAATGGTAGCAGAGATCGTGTACAGCTCTACATTAATTTATCTGTTAACATAAGACTTCTGAACACTGCTGAAGGAAACTAAACCCCAACTTTATACTTGACAAATGCATTATAGTATGCCGGTAGCTTAACGGGTGTTAGAGGTTTTATTTTTATTAAGTTAGCAAAAATAAGCTGACTTGTCTTAAATGTCTCCAGACATCACAAAACATTAAAGTGTTTATGTAATCTGACAATTTCCACTTTCTTCTTTCATCACACATTTACTAGAGATGCTGCTGAGCCACTGAATATGTATGTACATGGTTGTTGCTTGTGTACAATCTTCCAGTATTTTTATATTTATCAAGAAATGTTAGACTATATGTTAATCCATAATCAAAATAAAAAAACACATTTTTTTTTTTACCACATTGTATTATTTGCCACAACATAACACCTCTGAGTAAATGATGAATGCTTATGTAGAGTTTGTACATGTTTTTTCCCCTTTTCTTTGAAAACACTCACCTCAGTGACAGTTTAATCCTCTGAAGTGTGATTATAAAGAAGAGAGCAGCGGGAAAGTTTATATTAGCAATGATGTTGCTAATAGAAGGCACTAGTGCATTATCCACTAATAATAAACCTCCACAATTACAAATTTGGCATCAGTAATAAACAAACCACTTGGTTAAGTAATCATTGTGATTTTTATTTGGAACATTAGGCAGACACTTATCTGAAACAGAAAACATCACTCCAGAAGCGACTGTAGGTTAGCGTTAGATGGAAAGCTAAGGTTATAAAGAGATACATTTTAGAGGTTATAAAGAAATAAATAGAGAAAATATAGAATAAGGTATTTTTTTGTGAGTCGTCAAAGTTGTAAGAGAAAAGGATTGAAATGCAGACAAAGTGCTGTACAGGATGTTAGTTAGATGGTGAGGGATGATGGGATGGTAGAAAGCTCTGCACTTCTAGACTGTAGTTGATTTTTTTTTTTTTTTTTTACTAAGCATCATCTCCCCTTGATAAACACCTTTTTGGGGGGTGGACAAGAGTCTAATTATCATAGCACTCCATTTTATCTAATAGACTAGATAATAAAGACTAATTATTTTCAAAATAAAGATTTTCATCAACAAAAGCCAATTTTCCATCTTCTTTTTTAGGGAAAGAATTTGATTTGAATGTCAAACCCAAACTGTCTGACATATTTAACTTTTGCAGTGTAAAAAATAACCATCTATGTACTAAATGACACCTTGAAATAATGTTTAATTGCCACTATGTCTCATGTTCTAATAGATTAGGATGCACACATGAAAAAATAAAAATAAAACTCACAATTACAACTCTATTTATGTTTATTGTGTTGTTCTACTTTGTGATGAAAGTCCTACCGGCGCTTTGGCTGAGGTCTCCACATTCATCTACAGAGATCTTCTCATATTTTCCATGGCCAGTGACAATAAATTTCAGTTTTTTCCCATGTGGTGTTGACTGTGGAGAGATGGAACAGAAATGAGTTTATTTCCTTTGAAATCCCTCTGATTTTTACTCAGATTAACCTTTTGACCCGTAGGGTTAAGGTTTTTCCTACAGGTCCATAGACATCAGAGTGATCCAGCTGCTGAGAGCCACTCTGAGCGAGGAGACAACAGAAAACTCCTATCTGAATGAGGAGCTGTGATTGACCCTGTTGCTAGGTGTGATTGACCCTTTTGCTAGGGGTGATGCTGTCTTATAGGGTCTGTGACTGGCTCTTCTTCAACTTCTGTTTAACAACAGTTGACAAATAACTTAATGGAGCATTACTGCCACCCACTGGTGAGGAGTGTTGATCAAACATCAAAGAAAAGAAACAACAAAAGTAATGTATCTTATTCCATCAGACAAATGACCAAAGATTAAAAAAATGTAAAAGATTATGACCAGGTACCATTTACTGATTAAGTCTTTCTGAGATGAATCAATAAGGTCTAGTTTTGACTGTGATTGATTATTGCACAAAACTAAATAAGACACACAAAAACACAAATCACTTGATATAAATTAATGATCATACAGTCCAGATTGGATTAAGAGAAGTGTGCCATGATGATGAAACTATGCAATATCGTATTATTTACCACACAGTATCAACATGCAGTGCCTGCTGTTGGCACAGTTCAATCCATTATACAGAGAACGTCTCTCCTTTCTGTCAGTCAGGCTCACTGACAGTCCTCCTCACTGCTGCTAACATTTTGTCCCTTTAGGAGTTATCTTTGTGAATAAACTTTGTTAACACTTTATTTGAAGGGGTGTGCATAAGACTGACATGACACTGTCCTAAACATGACATAACACCTGTCATGAACATAAAGAAGTCTTTATGAATGTTTATGACAGTTGTCATGAAGTGTCATTCGGTAAATAAGGACACTTTTAATGCAAAGTTGCTCTAAAAGTTGCATTAAAAGTCCATTAAAAGTGCCAACTTTGCATGGTTTTGTAAATTATGATAATTTAATGAATCTTAGAATTCATGAAGTTCTAAGAATTCACTATTTTGGAAAAAATATTTAAACTTTTCCTCATATGTAGAAAAATCACACAGGCAAAACACACATTAATCTACATATTCTACACAGAACTCACAGAAAGATACAGAACAGAACACAGAACATTCTAGAATTTAAAGATGTACTTAGCATCACTCTAACAATGCTGCGTAATTCTGACATGAAGAGACTTACAGCCATGGTCAGCTGTTATTTTGGCAGGGAAATAAAACAGTTGCTACAAACCTTTGCTTTTGGTTCGGTCCCCCCTGATGGGTCTCCAAGTATTTCCCACATGTTCTTCTTCTGCAGCACGCCTCCAGACCTCACATCCTATAAAACTCATCCAGAAGCAGAAGAGAACTGTTAGAAATCAAAGCTGAAAGGATGAGCACTGGGACAACAGAGGAGAAGGAATCTGTTTATCCATAAACCAGATTCAAGTCAAATCCAATCATATGGACAGATTCAGATCAAATTACATTCACTCCTTTATAACCCTGAATTGTCATCATATAATTGCAACTGGAAGTCTCAGAAAGTCCAACCATCTTCACTGAGTGTCACCTGAGTGTGCGAGAGAAAAGAACTCAACTCTATGCAATAAGTATTTATTTGCTGATATTGAGATTTTGAAATGTGGACACATTGATTTTGAAATCTGGACACATTCAGTTTGTTTGAACTGACTACCAACCAACCAGACATGATTGCCCAACCAACAATAAAAAGATAAGAAACAGCAATGTACTGGCTGTTTTCCATTTTTGTTTATTTCTTCCACCGCCTCCTCTTATTAACAGTAAACAAACAACAAATTGCTGTGTTACCTCCACCATCTGGTGGAACTCATAATCATATGAGTTTGAAACATTCAAATGAAATGAATGTCACTTTTCACTGTTTTGGGTTGGTTAATGTTAGTTAAATATACACAGATATGACAGAATTGGGTTAGTTAATGTAGTTAATGTTTTGTGTTAAGTGACTCGTCACACCCAACAGTCATATAGTTTGACATTCCTCTTCAGGACAGTTATTAGCTATGTGACAGTTAGTCTTTCATTCTTCATACAAATATCTGCTAAAACCAGCCTGCTAGTGTGGATGATGTTGCATCGAATCCAAGATGTCAGATTTATCTATCAAAGAGATAGATGAATGAATCTGCTTGAGTTGGAGTTGGAGTGGTTATTGCACTTTAGCAACAACCACTCCAAAACCAGTGGGCAATTCACTTTTACTTGTCTTTGCTCAGTGTAAAAACACAGACACCTCCTCCTGGTTTCACCTGAGTGGAGGACGCAGCCTGGCAGCAGCTAAGCCTGTTTTATCATCTTAACACAGCTAGCCAAGTAGTTATCAGATCTAAAATGCTGCATCTTCCAGTTTGTTGACAACAATGTGAGCTTTAGTACAGACGCCCAAGCTTTACTTCATTTTTATGAGGTGAACTTTTTGCGTGATGTTGATGGCATGTTCTCATGCAGAGAGACTTTAGCTTTAGCTGCTGTAGCGGCAGGGTGTTCTTGTCATCTTGTTGTGCCATACAGGAGACAAGCCAATGAAGAATTTTATATTGGTTTTGCTTGTGTTCAGAGAAAGTAGAGGGTAAGAAAAGAGAAAAAAAATGCTAAACATAGGCTAGAAAAGATTAAAAGTGAAAATATAAATGGTACTCAAAGTCAAACAGCCAAAGACAGAGACAGAAGACACTTCATCATAAGAATTAACACATCACTGCCAAATCAGATGTTACACTCAGAATAAGATGTCATTGCAAAAATATGAACTTATGCTTAAAACCAGAGATTATGTTTATTAAAATTGTGGTTCTTTATATGACACACATGCAAGAGAAAAAAAAATTCAGTAGTTTCAAAGTGAACTTACAGACGGTCGGCATGGTGACTGTTTGCTACTGGGCTCTGAGGGTCCTGTCACCCAGTGTGTGATCAGGCTGGCCACGCCCACTTTCAGACTACCAGTGTCCTGATTCAGAAAGTAAAGACAACATAGACTTCAGTTTTACAACCATTACATTGTGTTAGCAATACAAAGGAAAATGAGGAAATAAAAATGTGATTTTATTATTTACAAATTTTTTAATCTGATACAGGATTGAGGTGAACAGTGGATATGAGTAAAACTCCTGTATATTTAGTATTATGCAAATCTGTTCAAAGTAATCTTACATATATACAATCAATTCATCATACAGTCATCATTTATTACAGACTGAAGAACACACAGGCCATCTGTTCTGCTGATCCCAAATCAGCAGACAGATAATGAAGCTATTTTAGAAAAAATAAAACTATGTATTTCTATTTTAAGACAATATGTGACATTTCTCTGATGTACTTGTTAACTGGAACGTCAAATCAACTGAAAGTTGCCCTTCTTCATCAATACGTATTGTCACAATGGCAGACATCTTCAAAACTTTCTCTCAGGAGGTTAAAAAAACAAAAAAAAAAACAGATCTGACCCAAGACTTCAAGGCAAGCCTGTTGGAATTATTTTAGGTGCAGGAAACTCTATAATGATCGCTGAATCATTTTCATAATGTTCTGTTTTTGCCTAGAACGTGAAACAAGCACAAACATCAGCATGGAGAACAATTAAATTAAAATGTGACTGTTAAACACTTTGAAGGGTTTAGATTGATAGTTATAAAACTACCACACAACAGATAATTTATAATCTGATTTATATGATTGAACTACAGTATGATTGGATATGAATCTGAATATTGGATCGTTTTAATTAAATTTGAATCCTACATTTCTGAAGTGCGTTGGAACAATCTGTTTAGTACCTTGGGACATATGAATTTATTTTGGTGCCATATGAAGTAAATATCATCCAACTTTTCTTAGTTTGCATACAACTGGTGAACTTATCAGCCTTTAGGCAGATAATCAAGCAATACGACGGTTTAAAAAAAGTTGCAGTCTCAAAATTGCTACATGATTTCATCACATTGTTGTTACAGTTTAAGCTTCTTTCAATGAAATACCATAAGGTGCTGGAGTGAGTAAAGTCTGCGTAGTCCCAGTTGGAGGTCTATGCTCATTCTATATATTTATGCCAAATGCCAGCAACAATCTGTGTGTGTCGTGTCACCCTGCATGTTGCTCCTTTGTTCGGGCTCCAGGCCTCTCCAGCCTCAAACAGATTCTTCTTGGAGGAAACAGCCTCTGGGGAGTTGGGAAGGTCAGTGAGCGATGCCTTCACCGCCCGCAGCTCCTGGGAGGTTTTCTGACAGGGAAATCTGTGTTATCAATGTGTACATAACCTGACTATGTTTATGAAGTCTCATATATAGTGTATAATTATCTTGAAGTGGTTCAGTTATCATACATTAAACACACTTAAATGTTTTTAAAGATATGATCAATAAGATCTATATAGTTTGAAATTATGTGCACTGCCTTATTTTTTAATGGTTGGCTCTTATGCAGTGCCATACTTGATACAGTATATATCAACTGTATCAAAATGAGCTGCTGTGTAAATTTGATTCAAAGAATAAAAAAAAATGTATATCCAACATTACTGTAAAACATAAACATGTAGATTTTGTTCAATGCTGGAAGTGTGTGTGGGATACTGACCTCCACAGCGTGAGTGTACTGCTCCATCTTATCATCGATCCTGGTCAGGAGGAAGGGAGGCTGAGTCTTCTTGAAACTGTTGCTAAATTAGACACAAGACACTGACGTCTGTTAAAATGAAAGCCACAAACAGTTAACCGGATAAGACGGATAACTGTCTGTGTGCAATTTTTCACTTAGCTGTCATGATATGTCATTTTAGAGCTTCCAGAGACTAAACTTTTTTTTCCTAAACAAAAACAGAAAGTCAAGACTAAGCAATTGCTGTTTTACCTTTGTAGGTCAGATATTTCCATACATTTCCTGAAGGCATCTTCACATGTATTTTTTTGTACCAACTGACAGTCAGGGAATCCCAAAGGAGTCTCCCCACGGTGGACCATCCACTCTGGGTTAAGGGTCTGCCTCAAGCAGAGGGGTTTAAGAACCATATTTTCATAAAGGACACGATTCACTCAATGATGTGTTGTTGTGTTATTCGTCTTTAGAGAATATCAAGCATGAATTCTCAAAAGCTATGAAGGAAGTTAAATAATCTTGAACTTATACATCCTGATAGAAAGATCCCTTGTCTTGAAAGCTCCTCAGAATTGATCATTTCCTTCTGCAGACTTCCTGGAGCCACCGTCCCTCACCCACCACTGGAGAGAAGACAGTCCCTGACATCTGGACTCAGTTAAGCAGAGCTACGAATCATAACCTAGGAGTATTATATCCTGAAAAATGTGTGTTGGTGGGGGGTGTCCTTCGACCTTCTTCCTTATCTTGCCTTGTCTGTCTTAACTTCAGGCAACTAAGAGTTAATCAGCAGCTATAAAGCAGTTAGGACAAACAACTGAGGAATTAGCCATTCAACTTTAGGCATAATGACTAATTACTGCATTTTCAACTGAAGTAGATTTAATGTGATTTTAGAGTTTTTCCAACTTACACTTGTTTTCAGACCAAGGCTGCTAACTTTAATTCTGAGAACAATTCATGGTGGAAAGTTTTGTCTCTCCAACATGGGATGGTTTCAAAGCTGCCTCTTTGAGAAATATCAGTAGGCTAAATATTAGCTTTATAGACTAGCGATAGGGCAGCAATCTTTGTTCATTGGCTGCTTTAACTTGTGTTGTCCAAATCTCTTAGCATTCAAGCCAAAATCATTAACCTGAAAGTAACAAAAGCCCACAAATTGAAATGCTTTGCAGACTAAAAACACAGAACATTTCTTGTATATTTCATTTAATCTCCTCAACGATGAACCAAACACACATCACATGAACAGTGTAAAGTTGTCAGAGTTTTGTTAGGAGTGTGAATCTGTAAATCGCTATAGATCCAAAGCATTTAAAGGATTGTTCATTAAGGAAAGGCTTACATTTTAGGGGTTAGTTTTTTATTTATTTATTTATTTATTTTTTGGTGGCATATTTTTAGCCTTTGTCAGAAACAAGAACTCTTTGTTCTTTAGGAAAGTTAACTGAAGGGGTGCGATGAAGCCTACTTGTTGGAAGTTCTTTTTGGTCTTATTTACTATGATTGTTAAAATCAAAAGAAATAAAATATGGTCATTGAAATAGTTGGATTAAAGGTAAATTTAACTTATTTTACTCTAAAAGCTCCAAGTTAGTGAAAATCACAACCATACAATCTTTAAAAAGTAACGTATCAGCATCAGCCGCCTTTGCAGTTTGACCAAATGTCTTGAACAGTGACTATGTATCGCAAAACATCATCCTTACGGCCTCAAACGGCCCAGCAGCCACACTTTGGACACCGTGGCCTGAACAAGCGTCTAGCAGTCATATTCTGTTTTATTCTGAATAGAATCTTGAAAACATTTAAACTATTTCATAAACAATTTTGATGAAATATTTCAAAAAGAATAACTTTTTTTTCATTAAACAAAAAAGTCTGAGGACATAGTTACCTTTTCTTTAGTGAGCGGTTCAGGGAGTTGGTTCTCTCTGTGATCTGAAAAAGAAAAAAAGGTGTGGGTCTTATGTCATGCCTTCACATGTCAAGTTCCTAAACAAAGCCCCAGATGTCCATGGTGGTCTACACATGCTCAGCAAACTCTTTGACATGTTTAACACTTAGTTGTGACAGTGTAATTCATAGTGAATAACTTTATTGTTCAAGCAGAAAGCCACAGAGGATCTCGTCTTGCAGGCAGTCCTGATCAACATGGTGACAATAAAAGCTGCTTCGTCTTCTGTCTGGGCTGATGATGAGGGCAGGACTGGATAATATGGTACCTTTTCAAAATTGAGCTAATTGTAATCAGAATAAGTTTCAGTCAAAACATTGCTGCATGAAAGAATTAACCGATGGCATTTTGATGCATTAAAGAGCAAAGATCACTGAAACATGAGGCTTAGGGGTGACTGCAGGTGTAAACTGTTAGTACAGTTTATTGACAAAACGATTAAAATACTCATTTGTGTGGCATTTAGCATAATGAAAATAAATGTGGTATTTCTTTTTCTAGTTTGATCTGATTGAAGTTCACACAGTGAGACAAAAAGGTCAGTGTGCCTTTTTATTCAGTTTATGTCGACGTCTGGTTTCATCTGTTCATAAAGTCTTAAACATTTGAAAGTGACGTATGTGTGGAAGTATTAGTGAACTTCAAAACAATATCACATGCTGCCAAGGTGCAGCCAGGTCATGCTGGTTTTGCAAACTCACACACACATGCACACACACACACGCACACACACACACACACACACAGACGCATGCAACTTACAAGAGCTAAAAGACTGAACCCATCAGCTGCAAAGAGAACACAGTTATGTTCATTCCTTTTTCTTTTGTATGTTCACTAAGGTTTATTTGACAAAAGTCAGTAAAGTAACAAAGCCTGGTCTGGTGCTTCTGTTTTTGGTTGTTTTTAATGTCCTTTGTAATTGATTATTACATTAAAACTGAGGATTAACTGAACCAGGCAGCAAAATCTATAACTAAACTGATAAATTGTAAAGGTGAAATAAACATGGTTGTATCTCGTTAAAAGCTGCTTGCTACATAATGTCAGATTTTACCAGATGGGGTTTTAATGCAACTTTAATTTCATTTCATTTAACGACACAAAAATAAAGTTGTCATCTGATGCATTCAGATCATTCTTTTTTTTTCTCTCATCCTGAACAGATATGAGCTTAGTTCCATTAAAGTTTATTATTTTTCCAGTTCTGAAAACATGCTGTTTAAGCGCTTTTTGTTGTATAAGACTATATAATGCTGAATATCATGGCACAAAGTAAAAATAAAAGCGTTTTAAGGTTTTGTAGATGAAAACACAGTCATGCTGTTCAGTTTTTATCACCTTGTGTGTTGAAACTTTGGGACTGAACGCCTCCTCTCCTTCTGCACTGGACGTACTAAGGGTCTTCATCCTTTCTGCTGCCTCCATCCTCCTCCTCTCCATGTCTTCCCTCATCTTTCTTCTTTCCTCCTGAATGGAATTCCAAAACACTCGATCACATCATGTTTGTAGCACCGTCTCATAAGAAACACAGCCAGCATTTCCTCCCTGAACGTTCCTCAGTGAAGTCGTCATTTCCAAAGTATTCTGACTGATATAAAAGCAGTTTATCACAAACAGTGATGAGGGAGTTGTATTTACAAATCAATGTCTACTCAGAACCTTTCAGTTTCTTTAAACTTAACTTTAACAAACTAAAACTTTATTTTTCTTTTCAAAGGAAGTTTGAAAAGAAAACTTCCTTTTTTGGTTTTACTTTAAAAACTGTTTTACTTTAACAGCTGCTCCTTCTTACAGAAACACAACCTAAACTCAATTCACCCTGAAAGTTTCACAATTTGATTGTGCTGATTTACTGAAAGATTGACTATCTTTGAACTGCCTTGTTGCTGAAATGTGTGACATTTTTTGGTTGATCTCTACCAAAAGAACTCCGACTTTACTTGATATAGTCAGAGAGATGATGCATTTCCTCCACTTCTGTAAATATCTACATAAAGCCAAAGGATTGTAGTTTTTATTTCACTATTTCTGCTTTCACCTCCTCAGCAGCCATGTGCTGTTTCTCCTCCTCCTCCCTCTGGCGTTCCTCTTCCTCACGAGCTCGCCGTCTCTCCTCCCGTCTCCTCTTCAGCTCTTGCAGCTCCTGCTCGGCCTCAAACTGCCTGTGTCTGATTTGCTCCAGCTCCTGACTCTCCTTCTCCTGCAGGCTCTGGCGGATCCTCTCCAGTCTCTGCTCAGCCTCTAGAAAGGGCTTCGCCTCCTCTGACTCCACAGATTGTCTGCATACAATACAAATATCTTGGTTTAGGCTCTTGAGCACATATAGGACTTTATGACTGTTGTCATGGAAGTGTCAATAAGTAAATAATGACACTTTTAATGCAAAGTTGCTCTAAAAGTTGTATTAAAAGTCTATTAAAAGTTCAAACTTTATTCACAGAATGACATTTCCATGACAACAGTGATATTCATAAAGTCTTCTTCTTGTTCATAACAGATGTTATGTCATGTTTATAATAGAGTCATATCAGACTTATGAACAGCCCTTCAAATAAAATGTTACCAAAAAATCTATTTTTTTCATGGCGAATAAATTAAAAGTGTTATGTTTGGACTATTTTCTCTCACACACACCACACACCTGCTGGATCTGCTCCTCTGGTTCATGACTGATGTCACTTCCTGGCCAGCTGTGCCACTCTTTTGGCTGTTATGTTTTGGCTTCTGACACAGGAAAACCTTGGACATGTAGGATACTTTAAGTTCTTTCTTTTTCGCTTCCTGTTGGTAAAATGTTAGAAAAAAAAACACTATTTGAACATATCAGTCTTTTTTGTGTGTACCAGACATTAAAAATCTTGATCAAATATGTTTTCAAGTTTGTTTGTTTTTTGGCGTTTAAAATTCAAAATGTTCTTTTTAGCAGCAATGTCTGATTTTCATTGGTTAATTTTAGTCAAATTGTATTTATTGTTACTTTTGTCTATTTCAAGTTATTTCAGTGACCATTGAAGGCTTTCCATTCTTTCATAGAGGCATGCCAACAATTTGCCCACATGTGTAAAACATTTGAGCTTGATCCTGTTTGTCAGGATCAAGCTGAAGGAGCTTTTTGATGGTTGTCTTGTTTTTTTATCTATTAGTTTCTACTAACTACGACTTCAGAGTTTCTATGTTGAGCTGTGTTTCTGTTCAGGCTGAAGACACTAAAGCCCCTTTTGCACTGCACAGCTGGACCCGGTTTGGCCCGGCTGATGGGTTTTGCATTAGCACTTCCAGCCCAGTACCACCCCACTCCCTGGAACCCCAAGAGCTGTGGTTACAATCGGGGTGGTGTTTTTTTCATGGTTTTATTTTTTTTATTGCTTAAAAGTAAACGATGAAACTACATGGTGGTGGGCCCACATGGATTTGCCCATGTAGGGCCCACGTAGGCTGTGGCCCTACATGGGCAAACCCATGTGGGGCCACCGTGGAACCCGCGGGCAAACCCATATGGGACCCATATGTCTGCCCTCCTTTACCCCATATGGGGCCCACCTAGGCATGCTGGCAGGATTACTGACATTATCACACAAAAAAATAGAAACAGAAAAAAATAGTAACTTCAGAAATCCTTGTGACTAAGGAACCAAACACTTTAATGTTTAATAAAAAACTCTTACCTCTATATTTGGCCTTTGAGTCTCTTGTTTTGTGGAAAGCAGCAGTTTGTTCTTCTTCATTCCCTCCCTCTCCTTCACTCTCCTGACCTCTTCCTCGTAATCGTTCCTCCACTCTGCCTCCATCCTGATGTTGTCAGCATCTTCCTGATCTTGTCTTTGAACTGGACTGAACGGCATCGAAGCAGCGTGAGCAGCCTTTTTGGCTACATTGTTCTTCATAAAGACATTTTCTTCTTCTTCCTCTTCTTCTCCATCCTGACTGAGCTCCTGCAGTCGCTGTCGTCTTTGTTTTTCTCTGCGCTGAGTCCAGTCACTAAAACCCTCATCCTCCTCAAGAGAAGGGGAACTGCTGGGTTTCAGTTCACGATCATACCTGAAGTAACAAGAGGCAGTCATATAAATATGGTTCAACTATTTGGGTGGCACACTTATCACCATGTACCTCTTAAAGGGGCAGTGTTATGTGTTTTTAAGACATATAGTGTCATTTTATAGCACAATCAAGTAACTATATTAACTAGAGTTGTTGTAAGAATGATATCTATCTATATCTATATATATCTATATATATCTATATATATATATATATATCTATATATATCTATATATATCTATATATATATATATATATATATATATATATAGATATATATAGATATATATATATATATATAAGATATGACTTAAAAGAAGTTTAACTGCGTAATTCAATGCCTTAAATTGAAATCTCTTTTAATAAAAACTCCTGCTCTTTCTGAATCTCCTCCTTCATAGAAACACAGCAATTTAAAAACAACAACAACAACAAAAACTCTTGTTTTTTGGTAAACAGTTTTGGAGGTAGGATGACATGGTTTTTCGGCTGTATCAAAACTGGTTCATTTAGCAAAACTGTAATGAAAATACTTTTTTCGCATCACACTGGTCACATGATCAACAATGTTGTGGTTCACAAAGAAGATAACATAAAGTAGTTGGAGGATCATGCCATAACGTTTCTTAATGACTTGTTTGCGTGTAATTTCAACTGTGCTTCTTATTATACAACAATTATGAGATTGAGTTTTTTTCAACATCAGCAGACTAATGAGAAAGTTTTGCATAGATTTGTTTATGACTCAGAATACTTGTAACACATTCAGAAACACTGTTAACAGGGAGGCTTTGAGTTATTAGTCAGACCTTTTTCTCAAAGCTTTTGTAAGAACTATTACTACATTCCTAATAGTAAATATGAACAAGCTCCCTGGAATACATCTAAATATTCATATATCTAAGAGTATTAGCTGATTTTAGTGCCAGAACGTTATATTGTTAACTAATAGTTATTGGTCAGTGATTTTGCATTTTAGCAGTACACTGAAACAATGCACTCTAAAGGACATGGGTCCTTCTTCCACAAAAAGGTCACAGGGTTCAGCAAAACGGATGGATTCAGAGATTCTAGGAAGAGTTGGAAACTTTTTGAATAAAAAGTCAAATAAGTTAGCACTTTATGGTACTTCTGGCTTGAATGAGAGCTGTCCAAGAGCTACCAACCTGCAACTGTTACATGCAGGATGGTATGATGTCTTATTCTGCCACCTTTAATCAGTTTAATCTGTTTCCTGGTGAAAATGTGTTCTGAGTCTCCGGGGGGTGACAGGAGAATTTTACTAACATTCCACAGATGATTAGATTGCTTGATCACCCAGTAGAACCCTAAAGTCTCTGCTTGATTCCTGATAAAGTAGCAAAACTATAATGCCAGCAATTCTGTTTGAGTCACTAAAACTGCTTTGAGGTCTCTGAAGTGTTTCCTTTCTCTGGCTTCTCATTTAGCCAGTGGAGTAACTGTAAGCTGTCATTCCAGCAGATGCTTATTACACCAGAAATGATCACAGACTAATTATTGAATCACCACAAAAAGCAAATTACAAAATCTCCCATCTAACCACAAATTAAAAGGCAGCATTACATCACTGCTGCATCTATACAAGAGGTATGGAAATGACAGGCTTGCAGTGGCAGAGTTACCTAATGTTGAATCACCACAATTTCAGGCCAGCTGAGCCTGCCATGAGACGGAGGAGGTGTTGGAGGTGAAAGCAGTAATTTACAGGCCTTAAATTTCAGGTCTCCTGAGACAACACAGGCTGTGGCATGGTGATGCTTTTTCTCTTGAGACATTCTTTGCATGCTATGTAATGAGAAAGCAGCTGCATGTCGCTCTTCAGATCATTATCACGGTGCTGGGGAGAGAGACGGTTTGCTGCTTCTCTCAATGAAAGCACTTGTTCTTAAGTTATCAGTAAAAGAAGGTAAAACAGCTAAGACTTTTTGACATTAGATGGTTCCACAGATGTCCGGTAGGACACTGTCTCATTCTTTCTGTTTGTTGTGGATTTCAAGGTGCTAAATATGGAATTAAATTGTCTTTTAAGTCATATTTGAAATATATACACCACTTTTATCACTTTTATAACAACGGAGGGTAATATAGTTATTTGATTATGCTATAAAATGCCACTGTGTGACTGCAAAATACTTTTAAAAAAAGAGGAAAACTATTGAGTGTACACATGTATATACATATCTTGTTCTTATAAGTCCTGTTTGGTTTTCAGTGAAACTCTTAACATTTTTGTTGCAATCCAGCAGCCTGTTTGTGTGCTGCAGTTTTCTGCAGTTCATTAAATTTTTCACCTGGATGTATTCTGACTAAGTCAGGTTGCTATGACAATATAAAGTGACAGATTAAATGTCCTTGTTAGCAATGCAGTTCCAAAAAGTTTGAATTTCCAGATTCTATTGAGGATTTTTTTCTGCCATAATCCAGGGATTTTCAGTCTGAAAGCAGGATTTCAGAAAAATTCCTCAATGAGGCTGAGTCCGCCAAACCCCCGAATAAATATGAATAAATATTTATTACAATGATTCAGTGGTTTTACAGTTTACAGAAAATAGTCTCAGTTTATGCATGTTATACATAACAAACAAAGCAGCGAAGTTAAACATTTAACGAATAATGTATTAATGAAAGTTACCCAGAGAGGTCTGGATCTGTTCCTCGCAACACACCCAAGGGAAAATATTTGAAAAACTACATAAAAAAAGGAAAACTCAGCCAGGAGACATCCTAATCAATATCCAATATTGATTAAATCTAATCTGACTGTTTCAGATAGGGAGAAGTAACAGCTTCCTTTCAGCAGAGCTCCTCCTGGAGTCTCTAATGCAGGGACCATGCAAAGAGGCAGTGGCTCATCAGAATATAGAAAATAAAATATTATATTTTAAATTTGACCTTAATTGAAACATTGACATTCTCTAGGCAAATTGTAAATGCAAAACATCAAAATGTTGAAATTGTGCAAAAACAAAATGTATAAAACAGTGAAGTGGATAAAAACTGATTCAGTTCAGTGAGCATCAGCATTCCCTTCACTTATCTCAGTTTCCATTACAATAACAGGTGCAAACTGAGAAGAAACTCATTTTTGACAGTATGTTGAATGAAGTATTTTACACTAAGTTTTGAGAGAGTGGGCAGGAGTAAAGGCTACTTCATGACTCCTAGAATTATGTTTCAAGGGCTTTATTATATAGGCCCCATCTAACTTTGTTACTGTGACGTCAGTTTGATTTGATTGATATAACCGTTTGTTTGCTAGAGAAGTCTGCAGTCTGATTAATAATCTATCAAAGTGGAAGTCAAACTTGGCCGTCTCTTATAACATGAATCAAATGCAGTATGAAGAAGACAGCCGGTTTTGTTATGTGTGCTCACGTGTTCCTCTCCTCTGGCGCCTCGCTCTCTGGTGACGAGTCTTCCGGTGTTGAGCCGCTGTTCCGTCGGCGTAAAGACTCTCGAGCCTTTCGGCGACGTTCCCGCTCCACTTCTTCAGCATCCTCAATGCTCCTCTGAGCGGTGAGTCTGGAGAGAAGAAGAACTACTGACTTTCCAGACATCAAAACGTCCTAGTGGCTTTATGTGAAAATGCTACGTCTGCGTTCAAACACGCCAAAAGGAGACTTCACACGACTTCATTTTCATTTTCATTTTCAGTACAAAAAGGGCATTCACTAATGTAAGTGTTTCAATACTTTTAATAAAATATGCAAAAAGACTGCTGGGAAACGTACAAAATGTAAGTTTATATCCACAGTATTCGTTGTGCTGTAAATTCTACAATCATTTCACATTGCTTCACCTGTACACATATCACTTTGTATGTTGCTTTTACCCTCAATGTAATGTTATGGATTCTGGCTTTTCCTCTATCTCTTTTGTCCTCTTTTATCTGCTTAAACTCACACGCTGCAGCTTACATAACCATGTTTATGTATGACTGCCGCCATAACTGATTAGACTACTCTTTAGAAAGGATACAGATTGCAAAGAATAAAAGTTAAACTCACGCTACAATCTTTGCCTCACTTGGTTACATCTCTAAGGTGAGCTAAGTGTGGCCCAGGGCTGGACGGTGAATGTAACGCTCTCTATTGAGGTGTGCCGATCGATCGGCCACCGATCATAATCGGCTGATTTCCGTGAAAAAGTGTATGATCGGTGATCGCCGATCATGGTCTCTTGTTACCGATCACACTTATATCACTTCGCAGCCTGCGTGTGCAACTTATCTCCTTTTTCCTTCACACTGCACAAACGCGTAGCAACAAATCCTGTCGTGTGGAACTATAACGCTCTGAGTGAATGGGGACGTTTGTGTGTTGCGGCGGAAAATTACTTCGGGAGTGAATCACTGTCAAAATGCATCAACAAAACGAATATAATCTGACATTTAAAAAACAAGCACTTGACGGAGTTCGGCTACATCGAGGCTTAATGCAGGTACAAAAGGACATCGTCAGAAAGCTAAACAAATAAACCGAAAAACAATTTAAGTCTTCGAGCTCGTGGTGTAAGATGCTGGCTCTGTTCTCGTTGTTGACCCGCCGCTACGCGCTACTGGTAGTAATATTTCACAGACGGAGCGCCGTTTCTGCTCCACCTGCAGTGAACTCTCACACCGAACCTCTGCTTAAAGCTGCAGCACGTAACTTAAAAAAAGAAAATATTTTAGATATGGATTAAAACTTTCGTCGTCCTAACATAAGACAGATCATCTCTGAAAAAAAATAATCGATCTCCTCTGCCTCCTCCTGTGTTCTGCAGAATTACTCCGCTCGGTCAGAAACAGCCAATCAGAACCAGCCTTAATCAGCTAGCCAAGCTATCAGGAAGGATTGTTTATTTTGATGCAACCCGCAATTGACTTTGAATGAATGTCTCCTTTATTACTTGACATTATTTGATATAGATTTATTTGACTAATAATTTGTGGCACTGAGAGCCTTACTATTAAATATTATGTTACTGACTGCAGGTTTTTCAGTTGTCCTTTTGACTGAATAGCTGCTGTATTGTGCCTGCAAGTATTTTGCATGTTTATGTCTAAATTAGGTGAATTTAATTAAGATAATTATTAATTTTGCCAGATCACTTAGTATCATTTCTACCTAAAGGGAAAAATTAACAGTCAATTCAGGAGATCGGCAAAGATCGGTGATCGGCAGAAATCGGCCTCAGGGGTGATCGGTATCGGAATCGGCAGCAAAAAATCTGATCAGAGCATCCTTTTTAATGACATGTATGGCTTCTAACATTTGATCATTTTTCGGCATTGAAGACTGTTTTTATATATAACCAGATCTCATTATTTCTCAAGGTAATTTATACTGAAGGGCTCTTGCGCAGTGTGAAGGAAAGAGGAGATCAGCTGCACATGCAGGCTGCAAATGAGATGCAGGTGATCGGCAACAAGAGACTGTGACTGGCGATCTCTTATCATACACTTTTTCACAGAAATCAACCAATTATGATCGGCAGTCGATCGATCGGCACACCTCTAATATGTAACCATAGAGCAGGAGTGTCAAACTCCTTTTTGTTTTGGGCCAAATCAAGATCATGAATCCTCTTAAAGGGTCGGTTGTGATGGGATGTATTGATTAAAATATCAATGGATTCTTAAAATTAATTAATATTAAACATCTTTTCAGTCCTTCCAGGATGTCACGATTGTCTTGTGTTTTTTCGCAATAAAAATCAAAGTGATTGTGGTACTAATTTGGAAATCATTTAGATCATATGGTGATTCTATGTTGATGCTACAGATACAGTATTGATTTCATAAAGTCAATCTCTTGATCTCTATCTTGAGTTGTTTTTGTACAGCAAACATGATTTCCCATCATAGGCTGTAATGACAACATGAAACTTTAAATTTTTGAAAACAAGTCTTTGAGTTTCAGTTTGTTTTTGGGTTTTTGCCAGTTTTAAATTGCTAGGAATCAAACTCACAACCTTCAGCCGGATGTAATAGATCAAAACTACATCAGCTCAGACTGATTTCATGAAAAAAGCGTTCATTAGTGCAAGTTCAGATTTTTATTTTTTTTTAATTGGTCAAAGAATTATTTTTATTTCACTATGCTCTCACCTTGCATATTCTCTCATAGTTATGGCTGAGGTATTTTGTCATGCTTGGCAGCATCCGAAACCTAGTAAATTTAAATGATAAATCTCTAAACTGGCAATTTTAATCAAAGTTGTTAAAGGTATTTTAACTTTCTTCAGCTGCCTTTTTTTCCCCACAAAATCATTCTTTGTTTCTCTTTCTTGTACCATGTAATTATTGCATAGAGATGGAGATTTTAACCTTGTTTTCCAAAATGGGGCTTAGCATACAGAGCTCATATGTGCTGATGTTGCCATTGCAGTGACTTTAAACAAACTTCTTTGGCTTTTCTGTATTCTTCCTTTGCAAACCAAAACCAGGAGCAAGAACGGACACGCACTAAGCGTTTCCTCAAATAATGGTTGATAAAGTTCCCATGAGCCAAGCCATGGACGTCAGTACAGTCCACACCAGATTAGGAGCAGTGATTTATCTGGAAGGACACATCCAGCTTTTAAGAGCAGAATTCAGTTAACGATTAAAATTAATTTATACGAATTATGAGGTAAGATCAGGAAGTGACCGTCTGTTTGAGTTTATTTGAAGTCGCGTTCCTCAGTTTGAGGTGGCAGAAAGTCACAACATACTTGAGGATGAAGTCGAATATGAAAACGCCTCACACTGCAGGTCAGAGGTTGATGTCTTCATTTGCTTTCTATGGTTTATTTTTTGGTACTTTCATTAAATACTAAGAAAGTTACACTGAAATAAGAAAATAGTTGAACCAACTTAATTGAATTGCTTCAATTGGTAACAAGAAATCCAATTAAGTTTATCCAATTTAATTTATTATTAAGTGTTACTGAAATAATTTAGTTTACTTCAAATGAAGAAGTAAACTAATAAAGTATATTTTTTAAAGTTTTTTTTTTTGGCTCTAGTGGCCTTTATTTAAGAGGAGTTAGACAGGAAAGTGAGTAATAAAAGATGGGGAAGACATTTGGCAAAGGTCATCAGGCTGGGAATCGAACCTCTGACAGCCATGTCAAGTACTAACACCTGCTTATGTGAGTTGTGCTCTAGTCCTGTGCCACAGTCGGTACAGGATCCCTGGTGAAGCTTGAGCTATGACATCAGATGTCAGGATACGAATGCAGCATTGAAACTTCATTGTTTCAAGTCAAAGCAAAGGTCCTTTAAGTTGAGGGGGGAGGTTGAGCAGTCACTTTGGTGCGTTTCTCAGGTCAGAACTGAAATGCTCAAAACTTGTTCAGTGCTCGTTCCATCTTCAAATCATTGTGTCATTTGTGCACGACAAATGTCTTCTCATCTTTCTGAACACACTGCGAATGCTTTTGGACATCATGCAAGTGAATATGTCCAATTCTCTGCTTTTGCGTTTTCAGTTGCTCATGTCATGTTGATCATCATCCTGTGTTCTGGTCAGAGACGAGCCAAGGCTGACAGCAGTTTGTTCAACATTGTCTTCCTTCTTACTTGTTTATTTGCCATCATTTTTATTGCTTATTGTCTCTTGGTGTTCCTTCCTCAACATACTTTTCACATCTGGCCACCAGCCTTCTTATTACTCCCCCAGCAGGTGACTCTATTGTTCATGTTTATTCGGACAGTAAGGAAACAAAGACAAGACAGGAGTCTGACAGTTCTTCAGAGCCTCGCTGTGTCGTCGGAGCAAAATTGGTTACTTGGCAGATTTGTTTCATAACACATCCATACACACATGATGGATAAGAACTGCCAGCAGCCATATAAAGCCTTTTGCTCTGTCTGCACATGTTGAAGAGCAACAGAAGAGGAAGAGGGATCACAGTCAGGAGGGAAGAGGTTGAGGGTATTATACCTCAGCTGCTCTTTTGTAATCTCTCACGCTGTCATCAGGTGGATGAATGGATTGAATGATACAATAATAACAAGGTTTAGCATTCAGCCTGAAAGCCCTCCAGCCTCTGTGATGCAGACGGGCATGGTGGGAACATGTTACAGATGAAGTCACTGTGCTGCAGGAACAAGTCAGAACAGAGAGACGCAATGAGTCACTGTAGCTCCAGAACATAAATCAACAGATGGGTTCAGAAGCCGCAACAAGTCAGACTCCCACTTGTCTTTATTCTATTGATCACCTGGGCGAAATTACTGAAACTGAATTATGTTCAACTTTACGTTATACTCAGACAAACAATATGAGGAGACCATGAGGCAGGACAGCAAAAACAGACTTTGAGGTATCTTGGCACAACACAGAGTTATTTGATTTCATCTATGAGAAAAAAAAATGATTGGATTTCATAACTATCGATGCGTTGGAGCAGAAACAAATATGAGCGTTTTTTTTTTTTTTTTTTGAGAGGAAAAACTTGACCTTGCAGTTCATTAACTAAACATGTTCAAAGGTTTTTTTTAAAATAAAATAATTGAGGTATAATTCAATATTTCAAACCCAACCTGGGATGCATAGCCCAAACAACTAACTGCTTTGTTACAACATTAGCTACATCAAGATGTAGCTAATGTTGCTACATCTTGATGCTGACTCTAGTAGCTGATTGGACACAGTTGACCAATTTTTGACATTTAGGAGGAAGATGAGAAGATTCCACCTAATTTATGACATTTTCTTATTCGTTAGGAATAAGAGAAACTTTGAGGTTAAAGATTTTGCATTATTTTTGAGTGGAAAAAAAGTGAGCCACTTGGAAAAAGATCAATTGAGAAGACCACTGTGGTGAGGAGAAAACAAGCTGTCAGCTGCACAACCAAAGAATTCTTCATTGATTTACTTTTCCTAGCAAGTAGCTAGGTAGGCCAGAAAAGAACTGTTATATCACAGCTACCTACTGCTGACTGATAGTCCTCTATCCTTTTAACCTTGTGTTTACAAATGGGGTCCAACCGACCCTACACTCGTATCACTTGTATTATTTGCCTCAGTCCTCGTACGTTTGCCTCTGTCCTTGTACGCACAAGGGTTAATGAAGACAAAATGTGGAGAGTTGAGGGAGGCCCATGCTCTCGTCACTCATCAGTCCACCTCCCCCAAACACATTCCAGAATGTCTTATCTCTTTGGACACACTGAGGCAACCCACACATGAGTCAGGGATTCAGTCTTAGAGGTCACAGATCTGCCCCTGTCTGTGCTGCAGGCTGAGCCAGCCTGACAAAGAGCTGATTAAAAGCAGATCAGGTCTGCTTGCGTTCCTGCCATGACCCCTTCCCATAACAGCAAGCCCTTGTGACCGCTTCTTCAGTCGCACAATAAAAAACCTGCAAATAATCTGAGACCAAATAAAGTCTTTCCAAAAAAACAGCAGCAATAGTTCAAAATAAAGATCGTGCTCTAAATACCTCCAATGTCCCCCTAACAAATATTTAAGAGATCAGAGATGATTACTTATTTCATACCAACAGATGTTCAAAACTATTGGGACATGCCTTTAAGAATGTATTTTTTTATGAGTAAGGTTCAGGTATTATTGTTTATTCTCAGTTATTCAACTGCACATAAAAATTTCACCCACATTTTTACTGCATTAAAAAAAAAGTTCACAGATTTGAGTTATATTTCTTTCTTCTCTTTATTTTTGACAACTAATCTTCACACCTTTGGTTGAAATACATTCAATGAGGGACTTTTTGAACAAGTCTCTGACATCTGTCTAATATTTGAATGATTTCTTTAATGTGCAGCATGGTTTATTATTTTCCTCAACTACCTTTTTTACACAATGAAGTTAATGTTGGTTTCTTTGATGGGGAGCTGGCCAGATTCTGCTGCAGCAGTAGATCACCAAACTCAACAATAAGACTTCTTTGAATTCCTTCTTTGACTCATAAGCTGTTAGTCTTCCACGCTAAATGTCGGATGTTCTAATGAAATGGTTTTCTATTCATGTGCACCTAAAATGACACACCATTGTGTACTTCCAGTTATTTAAAATGGCAATAAATGTGGGAATGTCCAAATTTAATCCTTACCAGAAATTGCTTTGGTATTGGCCTTCGTGTCACAGAAACCAAGAAATGGGTATATTTGTGTATATAATTATACTACTGGTGAAAAATTATGATATCTATCCATGTGTCCAAATTTGATAGAAAACAAATAGGATTGTTCACATTTTTTTACATCCTTCAAATTTGTACCAAATATTAGAAAGAAAGATTTCAGTATAGAAGACAATTATAAACCAAAGAAACAATAAACATTATAGAGAAAGCACTACATGAAGTTTTTCAGAAGCAGGTCAAACATGCCCAAACAACCTGAACTCCCTAAGAGAAGAAAACATGATGAACAGTGCTGAAAAACAGCCGAGCAGTAAATTCTCTGATACACCAGTGGGCTTGGAGTCACTCCCTGCATTTGGTGTGATGTCATGGTTTCTGTCTGCACCTCCGAACAGAAGAGCCCATCTTCTGAGTAAATGATAAATCATGATGAGAGATCCAAAAACTGCCAACTGTTATCTTGAAGCCCTGTGACTTTCTTCCAGTGACTCACCAATTACGAAACTTCAACAGAGACAGAGGCAAGAATCAAACCGTCAGCATTCATTCTGATTCAGAGGACAATCTGGAGTAACTTTATGAGGACAGCAATTCACACATAAAACCATTTTAATGATGTCAGGTGGCAAAACGTTTTGCTGACCTATCTGAACGTTCATAAATACATTTTGGAAAATAGAATCATTGGGATATTATCATTTATTTAAAAAAAAACAGGCTTACTGTGTTTATGTAAGCTAAACATAAACTCAGTAATGAGTTTATGTTTAGCCCATTACTGAGCTAAACATAGCTCATGGAAATAAATTGAAATGTATGCTTTATTTATGGAACAAATCATGTTACATGGAATAAATAATGAATATCCATTCAAATGAATAATACGATTCATTATTAATAATGTAATCCCACTACTACTACAACTAATAATAATAATAATCATAATAATAACAATATATCCAGTAAATAATAGGAAATAAATAATGTTCATGAAAATAAAGCAATCTTTTTGTAACTCTAATAAGGTTGTTACCAAATCGATTATATATGATAACCAGAGCAAGTGTTTCTGTAATAAAAGTGTAAATTAGCAGCAATTCCTAAGAAACAGACTAAGATTTAATGATCACCGGGACTCTGGCTTATTTTCACCTAATGCAGAGCTAATTGTCATCATGACGATCTGAATGTTCATAAATACATTTTGGAATTTAGCTGTTACATGACAGCTAGTGTATGGCTACTGCTTGGGAGGGAGAGCATGGGGTGTCATAAATAACAGCAACCAGATGCAGATGATGCAGGCAGTAAATCTAACTCTGGCTCAGTGGTCCCAGACCCCTTGGTCCTCGGGGCTCTCGCTGTCCTGCCTGTTTTAGATGTTTCTCCACTACAACACAGATGATTTAAATGACTGCAATACCTCCTCAGCATGCCTTCAATTGCGGCAGAGGTCTGTTAATCACCCATTCATTTAAGCCAGGTGTGCAGCAACAGGAAAACACCTAAGACATGCAGAACCAGGATTAGGGACAGCTGCTGTAGCTAACAGTAAATTAGCAACGTTCACCACGACGCGGTAAAGAAAGTGCCGTGACATAAATTAAGTTGGCTGCCAGTGACAGAGGTTTGGTTTGGTTTGGGTGCAAGGATCTCCACAAACAGTGATCAGAGTGTTACAAAGTATGTAGTTTGTGGGCATTCAGAACAAGACAGCTAAAAGAAGTCAAACCTATAAAATGTGAACATGGGGCCAATAAATATGCTAGTGTTGAGGTGAACATGCATTCCTGTACAATCAGGAAGACTGCACAATTTCAATTTTCATGTGCAAAGAGGAAAGTTTTGCTTAACTTAAGCTCATGAAGGTCAAACTAAAGTTTTGCACGAAAAATATAAACAAAGTCCAGGACTCATGGAATGATGTTCTTTGGATAGATGAGTCATTTCATACATTTAAAGAGCAAAATACTCATCAGAAGTCCTGGTATTGAGGCAACGTAATCCATCACAAGAGCAGTCATCATTGCTTGTTGTCACACTGATGATGAATGGAATGGATGTTGCTGATTAACAACACCTCCATAGCAGGAATGTGGCTTTAAACAAGCTTGAGAAAGAAATTCAAACTATATGTTTGTTATTTTGTTGTAATATCTGAGCCAAAAGCTTTCCTTCAGAGACCTGGCTGACCACATCGTGGTCTCTTCTCTGTCCTCTGCTGTCTACCTCCTACTGGATCTGGTTGTAAACAGAATCTCTCGCCATCAAAAGGCAGTCGCTTCTCTTCTGTGTCCCTTCCTTACTGCCCTAGAACAACTGAATCAAAGCAGTCGTCCGAATTAAATAAACATAAATATGTTTAAACTGAAGTAAAACCTTTTTATCTTTTTACAATTCTTTGTGAAATTTATACTTTTTCTTGTTTTTCTTTTTTTGGCTGCAGATACAACAACACAGAAATGTAAGTTGACATAAAATGTAAATTAATTTAAACTAAAGTTAAGATGTATTAGAAAATAATTAACTTGACTAAAACAATCTTGTTAGATCTTTTGACTTGTTTCTGTCTTAGTTTGGTAAAATCCGTTATGAACTGATAGAACCTTTGTTAGAATGAAAAAAGCGAACAGAACTGAGGAAACCATGGGAAATGATTAAATCGTAACTTTAAGTAGCAGCTCAAATAACCAGTCATGCTATGGCTGAAGGTGCAAAAATCATTTGAATCACTGAAGATCCTGATAGAACCAAACTCAGAGAGGCAAACCGCAGAAAAAACAGGACATACCTCCATACATGAGCACACAAAAAACAATAGAGGGACTCAGGTGACCTTTCCCCTCTGACTCTGGTTAGTGACACCGTTTCCCAGAAAATCCTCTGGCATCTACTCTGTCTTAAATGTTTCAACTGAAAGGTCTCCATTGTCATCCTAAAACAAAACACTTAGTGAGGTTTAATAATAAAATGATCAAGAAATATATTAACTATTTACTACAAATATTAGCTTGTGGAAAAATACACCTAAATCCCCATGTGACCCAAGACACTAATCCCAGGGTTTCCACTAAAACAGATTGATTTTCCCAGGAAACACACTCAAAATCTTAAAAAAAAAAACACACAAAAAAATAACCAAACAAAATACCTGACAAAAACTCTCAGATTTCTGATGATCACTTAAAAACTGCCCAGCAGAAGCAAAAAGTCATGTTTACTCATGTTACCTCAGTCACTGTTTGAGATACATGTGTGGTTTAAACATTAACCTCAGTGGCTGTGCAGCTTAGACAAAGAGAAATGACCATGAGAAACTGTGATGTGTCCATCACATACCTCATTAGATTTTGCAAACCCTGTTTGCTGGAATTCCTCCTCAGCAGAGCGTGGGACATGTTTGCCTCTTTTCTGCGTCTAGTTGTCCTCTTCTTGTTGCCTCACACTGGTAAAAATAACAGAGATCACAGCAGCTGCTGATATGGCTCTAAGATCAACCCCTCTGAGAGAAGGTTTGTTTTGATCTGAAGTTCTACCAAATTAAACAGCACTGAAGTGTGTGAGAATCTGGGTGTAAATGGTAAAGTCTCTTTAAGCACACACACATGCACACACACAGTCCCAACCCTTACAAAGCTTGTTGAGAATGCCAGGAAGGCTCAAGGGGACTAGCTCCTTTCTCTCATGGAGGCTGGATCTTTAGTCGTTACACTCCCTCCAGCACAAACACACACGTCACCCCTCCCTCTGTTCTACATGTGGTTTTCATTGAAGAGCAGCGGGATTCAGAATCCCTCTTCTCAGTTTGTATTCCATCTCTGTCTGTTATTCCTCCAAACATGTTTTTTCCCCAGCGCGGAATAAAAAAAAACAAGAGCCTGTCCCTGAGAAAAGAAGAATCTACTACTGTGGGGTCATCTGGTTCTGGAATATACTAATTTTTATGTTTCCCTACTGGATAAAGAAAATAATTATGAGCACTTTTTCTGTGAGGTGAATGAAACACATACACAAACAGTAAGCTGAGTGAATGTAAAAAGCCCTGTCACCAAAAACAAGGTAGTGAGCCATACAAATTACTAAACAATACACAGATAAGCAAATTTACAAAAAGAAAGTAGAATTTGGCACTTAGAACATTTGCAGTCATGCATACCCAGTGCAATTCAGTTGTGAAAAAGCCATGAGCTGCTCCAAAATGCTGTAGCAAGACTTCTAGTAAAAATCAAAAAGCAAGACCATATTTTTGTAATTCTAACCCTATGTTAAAATTAAGTTCTTTTTCTTAAATATAAAGCATTTTTAAAACAGTGTGGTCAATTCAGCCAAAAGATTTGAACAAGCCAATTAACAGAGAGCAGTGTTTTATTCTATCTATTGTAATAATTTCTTATTGCCATGTTGCTTTGAATCCAGTCTGATGTTTTGACAGGACTAACTTTTGGTAAAACAAAAAAAAGAAAAAAAAGAAAGCAAAAATAAAAAATCCTTCAGTCATTCAGCTTTCTGAAAACCTTTACTAAGACATGCAGTGTAGATACGTAGCTGATAGCAAAAATTCAACCTGGAAGACTCCATCCCCTCCGTTCGTCCATCGGCGTTATGCTCATCTCCGACCTCAGCTCTGGACCTCAGCCGGCGTGTCCAATCATCAATCAAGCTCTGCATAAAAGGATCCACACCCAAGCTGTCGGCCGCTTCCCAGCTGCGTTCAACCCACCACCGCCCCTTCTCCACCCACATCCTTCGGCTCTCCAGGATGGCACCCTTTCCAGACCTCCACCACCAGTGTCGGGCCCCGGGGGAGAGCATCCCTAATCGGTTATCGGGATGTTCATCGAGTTCACATCAAATCTCAGCTCAGATCAGCTGCCGGGGCCCGAGCGCCAAAGAACTGTTATTCATTGCTGTCATTAAATCTTTTAATTGTTCCTTTTTCTTCGTCTGAGTCTTTCCAGATTGAAATAAGACTGTAGCTGCAGAATGACTCAGAATTTGTTTGTTTTGTATCACGCTTAGTGGACACCTGGTAACATACCACAAACCAAACATCAGCAGAGCAGTAAAGTCTGGGACCCATAAGAAAAAATTTTGTTTTTCAGTTTGGGTTTAGGTTTGGGACTAATTACTTTTTCAAAATCTAACATAATAAGCATATGTAACAAACTTCAAATATAGAATATTTGCAATACAATAACCTCTTAAAAACCAGCCCGTTGTTCTACACTTTGCTTCGTCCAGAGGGTCTATTGAGAAATGATTGTTTCACAGTCCTGGAGGCGTGAACTGTGTTGAGGTTTTAAATTTTACCCAGTCTCAACCATTTGGTCATGACAGATGAAATGCGTCAATTCAACACTATTGAAGCTTACGAGGAATTACCTACACTGTAAACAACCATCCAACACTGCAAAGAGAGAAGTGCCGAACTGAACCAGTTAATGCAAACTCAATATTTGGAAGGGTGGCCAACACAGACTGAACAGCTTTGTTCACTTCCTCTGCTGCTACTGCTAAAAGTAGACAGACTACAATTCCAAAACAGTGCAGGAAAACAATATTATCGTTCACAACTTATGCTTCTGTTGGCTGATTGGCCTGTAGAAATTCTACTGGAGGGAATCCATGTCAACGGGAGAAATCCCAGTCTCTGCTGTAAACGAGATTTGAACTAAGTGGAATAGCGCAGGAAGGCAATGCCCAGGGTATACAACATATCAGTGCAGAAAAACAGATGTCCAATAATAATGTTATTTAAAAATTAGCAAGAACAAAGTAGATGATTTTGTGAATGCCAGAACTGCAAGGACTTGTTGATTTTGTTAGGAGGAGTAATGATTATAAAGTATGACAGCTTGCTTGGAGGAAGGATCTCCTATAATGCTTTTTTGTGCATTTAGGTTGCAACAGACTGTCACTTAAAGAAGTCTCCAGTTCCGCAACAGCATCATGCATAGACTGATGTTATTTTAGCTAGAGTCCTTTGGACTCTCACCAGCCTATCAGAGCTGGCCATCTTTATGACCTGATCTAAATGCTTCTTCTAAATTGCAAGCTGCTGCAGCAACAAATAACACCATGATGCTTCAACAGAGTCAAAGAAGGTCTTCATGAATGCCGTCTGTACCTCCAAAGACCTCAGCCTCCTCAGCAGGCAGAGTCTGCTCTGACCTTTCCTTTAAAGAGCATCAATATTGTGAGTCTGGTCAAGTTTGGTCAGGTCAGGTGAACAACCAAGTACTCATAAGAGGCCACTGTCTCAGTGTCCACTCCCTGCATGTTCACTGCAGTGAGGTGGGTCGGTTCACCACTAACTCCTTGTTTTTAGCCACACTGACCAGAGTGTGGTTCCACTGGCATCAGTCCATAAAGTTCTGACTCTGTACTATGAGTATGAGGCAAACTATTAGAGGCTACTCATCAAACCTGTTAAAGAACGAGTTCATAGTGGTGTGTTGGGTGACTTTAGGATGGAGAAGATTAAAAAAATAAAGGCAGAGAAGACAACTAAATGGTGGAAGAATGGATGTTGAAAGGAGTTCAGAAATGGGACGATAAGATCTCTGGGTGGTATGACAGAGCTTTCAGGTGATTGGGGAGCACGGATTAGAAAGACATGTAGGAAGGGACTTGGTGTGTCATTTGGATAGGGAACAAATAATGAGGAAATCTGGTGGTGGAATGATAAATTGAAAGAAGTTAACCATAGGAAGAATTTAGTGAGAGCACTGAAGAGAGTAAATGGCAAATAACATGTACTTGTGTAGTGTTTTATCAGGTCCAGTGGACCCCAAAATGCTTCACATTACATTAAATCATTCATTCACAAATTCACCCTTTGATGTGGCAAGAAACTGGATTTTAACCATAGCTGTACTGAGGTAGACTGACAGAAGCAAAGCTGCCATGCACCAGGGCTGCCAGGCCATCAGACAACCAACAGCAGGCCAGGCCGAGGGCAAGGAAGAGCAGAGTGGGGATTCAAACCAAACTTCTAACATACTCCTATATTGCCCCAGGAGTACACAACAATATAGGCAACATAGAGCGAAGAGGCTGGGCAGGGCTCGGCATGATCGAACCGAACTGCTAACATCACTTCTCATTGGCCCAGCTGAATGACGAAAATCTCATCATTTTGTTCTCAGCCTCATGTTGTCCTCCCCTTCTGGTCACAATCCCCATAGCAAACTATTCACGCAAAACTATTGTGTGATTTTGTGAATTTTGTGGGTGTGTTTAATTATGTGGAAAACAGCTTCCAGAAGCTGGTCTTTGATTCAAAAGCAGGATAGCTAGTTTTGAGGAGCTGAGGCCGTGAAGATGTATGCACTGAAACAATAAACACTGCCTGCTTGGTTCTGGTCCGATGCAGCAGGTGAATGTCTCACCGACCTCTTCCATTCTGATTTTCTGACACCATGGAAAATAAAGCAAGATTTTCCAGGTCATAGGTCATTTTTTCCTCCTCTCCCGAACTTCTGAACTCATAATAGTCGATCCTCTCTGCCATGATTACTGTGTTTACTGCAGTTTTGCAAACCACACATGACAGAACACCATGATGCATTCTGCAGCATACTCCTTCATTAAGTCCTTCTCTCCTTAAAAAAGGAGAGAATAACTTATATCTATTAGCAAGACAAAGGAATCAATCTGTGCAGCTGGTTATGTTTGTTAAATATAGAAACAGTAACAGCAATCTAACTAGTGAGGGGACTACAGTAGGAAGATGAAAAGAATGCTCTGAGGAGCTAATGAATGAAGAGAATGGAAGAGCACAGGTTGTAGAAACTGTGGACAGGAAGTGGAAAAGATTAGTGAGGATAAAATTCAGAAAACTTTGAGGATGAAGAGGGGGAAGCCAGTGGTGTTGCTGGCCAAGTGAGGCTGTATTTTAAGGAAGCACCAGATCTCATTAACAAAATTTAAGATGCACTGAAAACCTGCATCATGTCACCAAAATATTATTAGAATTCCATATGGCTGCTGAAAAACATTCAGCTTCCATTACATTTATTCAAAGGAAATGGCATGTGTGTTTCATGTGTCTTTTTTAATGATCTGACTATGAATTCATTAAAAAAATAGCTAAGATCTACACAAATACGACTCTGTGAGAAGCTCTTTTGTCATCTAGTTATCCTAAGGTTCTTTCATCAATCAGTGAAGTATGCTAATGGTGCCTTGGAAAAATTGGCTTTTATCTGTTGCTTTAGCAACAGCAAACTTGCTTTTTTCACAGAATCAAGTACAACATATTTTATCTAGCTCAAGTTATTAAAGTGGTCTGAAACATTTGTCATTATTTCTAAAAAAAAAAAAAAAAAAAAAGTGAGTATGCTATTTTTGTTTTTTAAATTACGACATAACTAAAATGTATATTGCTGTTGTGTGAAAATGGAGTCAATAATAATCACATCCAGGAGAAGTCCCTAACATTTAAATGTCCGCTCATCTGTAGATAAACTTTGCTTTGATGTGTGTGATTTGCAGCTCTCAGGCAGTGTGAGGTATTCTGACATGGAGGACGACAGGATGGGGGACAGACAGTCAGGCTTTTGTCAGTTAGGCTTTTGTCAGGGTCTTTAATTAATCCAGCTTGATCATTGGGTTGTGTGTTCAGCTGGAACTCTTTAACTAAATGTTTGATGTGTGTCATACCTGAGCAGTATGCCGAATGTGTGGGGCATTTCTCCTGTACTCAGCAATATCTTGCTAAGCTTTGTGCTGCCGTCCTCATGCTGGGAATTTTGAATGCATTTAATGCTTTTTATATAAGCACAGTTTGCGGTCATCCTCCTCACTGTGATGTAAGCATCAGATTCTGCTGAACATCATAGTTCTCAGATTAGAAACTGAAGGATTGTAAAGTGGCTCTGCTCTTCTCGCTCCCACAGACTGAGCCGCTGCTGCCGCTTCTGCCGCTTCTGCCGCTGCTGCCGCTGCTGCCGCTGCTGCCGCTGCTGCGCCGCTCTGCCGCTGCTGCTGCGTATGGGCTCGAGGCGTACAAGATACAACGTTCAGGATCGCGTTGTGTTCAACTGTTTTTTTTTTTTTTTCCAGTTCCATAACATTGTCTAAACAGCACAGACTTAAATTTTCTTTTCAAAACCCTAAAGTTCGCTAATTTTAAAAACAGTTGCCAGAATGGAAAACAGAACCCTACTTTTATTATTTTCTTAAACGAGTCTCTGCGAAATGACACTTTCCAAATATAACTCAGAGGCATCTCTGTGACATTCCTCCAAAGGCTACAAGGATAAAGTTAGCTTCTGAGGAAACATTAGAGCCCTGGAGGCTCTGAGGCCTCTAGCAAGTTGGAGGCCGAGCCCAGAGCACTAAACAAGGAGTGGGAGCATGTACGGAAATACGAGGGAATTAAAACAAATCAAACTGAGAAAATGTAAAACTTTAAAGAACATCAGGTGAGGTGATTAGGTAAAGACAAAAGGAAAAATAATTTTCATCTCCTTATAAATATAATTTTTAGGGGGGGTGGAAGTTTGTTTTCTTTTCTTTTTTTGCATTGGTTTGCATACTGGTTTCAGTATCCTGAAGCTGTATCCTCCTGTATACTGGAACCATACAATTGGTTCCAGTATTCAGGATAATACATTACACATACTGTTTTATCTCAGTTTAAGGTTACACCAAAAACAAGCAACAACAAAAAACTTATAACAAACTACAACTTTGCCCATAAACACAGAAAACCTATTGAAAACTTATTTCTGCACTCCTGAAATGGTTTACAATAGAAATATCCTTTATTGTTCCAGACAGGAGCATCGAGTTATGTCACAAAGTGTTTAAAATATAAAACAAACATTAATAATAATAATAATAATAATAATAATAATAATAATAATAATAATAATAATATAGCAGACAGTACTATATTTTAATGTAACAATACCTGCAGTTACATATGAAAATATTTATATTATGAATCCATCCGAACCTGCCATGACTGACTGAATTAAGGTGTTAAAAGAGGTTATTGTATAATGGAAATGATGATCATTTCCTAATGTTTTTACACATAAAGTCTTTTTCAGTGACATTAAAATAGGATTATATAACTACATTGAGAGAAGGTTGGCTGCTCTAAACGCACTTTTGAGACTTTCATATTTATACAAAAGAGCTGCAGGGCATTGTGTAAATCTGGACACAGGTGACGTGGAGCATTACTGGAAAGGCAGACTGGAACTGGATTTCTAACCCAAATAAGCTTTAATAGTTTGATTTCATAATAAAGCTTTGGCTGTTGAATTATTTAATACATATCGTACCTCCTTTATATTCAGCTGAAGAAGGTCGTCCATTTTTAAACTGACACTTACTGGACAGTTTAAACAGTTTCTCTTATTTTACATCAAAACATATCACAGATGTAAACTTCATGGGCTTAGATTAACCTTAACTTGACTGAATTTATGTGGGTAACTAGTTGAGGTATTTATTTAATTTCCAGCAGAGCAGATCAGTCCTGTAGTAGGTCTGTTTTTAGTCATTGCTACTTCACTTCTCCATCCATCCTCCTTTGGTCTGTACCTGCTGCATCAGGGAGGGTGGAGCCTTTCTCCAGGGGTGATTGGACGAGAGGCCTGGTCCACTCTGGACAGGTCACCAGAACAACAAAGGACAACACGAAGACAACCAGGGCAAGCTGCATCTTTTTAGACTGTGGGATGAAGCCAGAGTGACTGCAGTAAACCAAGGCATGCTTTGGAAGAACATGCAGCTCCATGCAGAAACATTCAGGACTGCCCCCCTTCATGTTATTTCAAAGTAAAAATAAAATAATTGTGACATTTAAAAAAAGACCAAACATACCAGGTGTTTTCTTCCACATTTGATTTTATTATATGAAGTGTTTGATTTTGTGTGTTTTCCTGTGTGTACGGAACCAAAGACATGACGTTTCTGTGGTGAACCTGAACCTCCACTCTTCTCCCCTCCCTCCCTCCAGACTACAACAACAGTGCAAAATCTCCCTCTCAGTCTCTGACACATTACATGTCTTGCAGAAAGACTCCCCCCGAGTCACACTAACTCTTAGCTGTGAGATGAACATTAATCGCCGGCTTCGACTGGCACATAAGACACGTGGAGTACATGTAAACAGAAAGACGAGCAGCAACGAACAATTAGGAGGACTCGAACATCTTCTTCCTATCGGCCTTGTCCTCGATGTTCTTACGCCAGTCACCCACTGCTTCTGCTGGCTGTGAAGCACAGAAACATCTTTTTCTAATTGCAATATACATGTCTACAAAAACATTACAGACATAAGAACAGGGATAATAGTTTTTTGTGTTTTACGAAGAGTGAAATTTTGATAAAAACTTGTGTCTCACCTCCTCTTTGACCTCCTTCTTGACCTGCTTCAGGTTGGCCCTCAGGTCCATGTTGACCGTGTGTTTGGAGCCCAGCAGAGCCTTCAGCATGGCGTCGGCGGACATACGCACCTTCTTCAGGGCGGGCTTCTTCACTCCAACCAGGTCCACCACTTTGATTTTTAGGTCTTCAATCTACGAGTAAAAATGACACTTGATTTTTCTTTTCTTTAGACTTTTGTTGTGTATTTGTGGTCTCATGTGACCCACCTCTTTGTCTGCCTTTTGGACTTTGGCCTCAATGTCGTACCTTTCCTCATCTATCTTATCTATGGCAGCATGGATCTTCTTGCAGAGCTCCTGTTGATACAAAATCAGAATAACATATAATATAATAACAGTGACGTTCACTTAAACCTGAGAGGTGTTAAGTACCTGGCCTGTTTTATGTCAAATCTAAAGAAAAATAAAATCTCCTGTAATGAAGGAAGTTCCGCTGCTGAGCTCATGTTAGAGTGTGGACCTGCTTACTTGTATTGATTTCTACATTACAACCACCTCTTTAGCTTGTGTTTGTGTTAAGACGTTCTAACTAATCCTACAACTTTCATAAGCACTGTAATACTTTCAATAAGTGCCATATTTTATGTGGTTCTGTGTCTTAAAATGGAGTCATGTTATAAATTCAGCATGCTTGTACAACATGTAACCAGGATATTTGATTGTCTTCATCTGTCAAATTCTGATTTGTTAGTGAATATAGATGGAAAAACAGAAAAACTAAAAAGAAATGGGCTGGCAAAGATTTTGTTGTAAAAACTGGATATCTGTGTTCTTTCATTCCACCAACATGTTGCCATGATTCATAGTTACATCTACTTATGGAAACTCTAAGTCCATTACCTCTGGGCTTTTGTTGTTCAGAGGTCGGAATCTGAACTTCCTTAAACACGAACAATCAAGAAACCTTTGTGGTACATCTAAGAGTCTTTCTGGACTCTTAGATGTACCATATCTAAGAGTCCAGAGTCCACAAAGGTACTCTTAGATGTACCTTTGTGGCACATCTAAGAGTCCAGAAAGACTCTGAGATTTACCACAAAGGTACATCTTCTACCTTTGTTCTTCTCTCAGTTCTTTACCTTCAGCAAATGTTGCCCTTTTTTATTCTTCAATGGCTGGACTTACTTCCTACCCATATTTCAGACCTATGGGAATCTTAGGTCTGGAAATATCTTCATTCAAATTAGTTTATGTTTGTGACTGGTGTCTCACCATGAGCGTAGCCTGATCTCCACTCGTGTCTGGAGGAGGACAGTTCTCAGCCATGTAGGCCTCTTTGGCCTCTTCTCTCTCCTTCCTTTCCTTCTCCAGCCAAGTCTGAGCAACCTGCAGAACCAGGCTCTGCAGAAGGAAACAACACCAAGCACACAATTTAGTTTTATTTCTTCTGCCATCCTAATTTATCTAGAGCTGTAAATTGAAATATGGGATACAGTAGACCAGTGTTATAATTATTTTGCTTTTATTAATTAACTGTATACAAGTTGTAGATTTCCTAACTACTGAGGCAGCAGACTTGTGAGACTGCGTGTACGCACACGTGTGTGTGTGTGTGTGTGTGTGTGTGTGTGTGTGTGTGTGTGTCTGTGTCTGTGTCTGTGTATGTATGTTTGATACCTTTAGATGGTGCCGACGGCTGGATGTCATCTTTTTCCTGTTTGGACAGATTTCTCATAGTTACAATGTCACTGTTGAGGAAAAACTGAAACTTTCCAAAATGCATTTTCTTAAAAAAAAAAAAAAACCCACAAAAACTGTGAAATATATGATCAGTTTAACTTTTTGGGTAGGGACTGCAAACTGAAAACAGTCATCAGAGAAGACTTTTTGACTTACTCAGACATCTTGATGGCGTTTGTAGTTCACAATCTGCATCAAAACACACATGAATTACAGGAAATGTATGAGTGTGTTTGATCTATGCTGTTGGAGCCAAGCACATCAGCTGTCTGAGATCAGCATGACGGACACTGATGCACTGCAGAATTTGTAACGTAACGAGATCTGAGGCCGCAGCTGAGAAACAGCAACATAGACGGAACTAAACTGGGAAGGTCCAGCTAGGGTGTCACTTCTTTTTCAGACACCATCCGATCATGTGAAATCATTCTGTACAGCAATGCCAGTCGGCGAGGGTCCAATGTGTCGCTTTTATGTCCAATTAATGGAATATCCATGACGATGAAAAGGAGACGTTTTACTGATCCAATGAGGTTGCAGTACATTTTTCTATCAGCATGTTGGGAAAAATGTTTTAAGTGAAAAGAACTATCCAAATGTTTATTACTATTATTCTTGTTATTTTTTTAAATGGGTACAAGTGCATTTTATTTAAAATTTAGCTGAAGTATCGAACACGAAATGCATTATTTTTAGGAACATTAAGTAAACAGAATCTGAATTTTTACATTTGAGTCTAAAAGCAAGAAAGACAAAAATCAATCTGCTAAATTAATCAGAATTTCCTCAATGTCAACTAACAGGGTTGAAGAAAAATGTCAGTGAGAAAAACATACATGTTGATGAACTTTGACATCAACCCCAAAAACCACAGCCTTGTTTTAATGAAGGGCTTATATAATCAAAACATTATCTTTTGAAAACAATAATAATAATAAAACTGTCCTGATAGACAAACATCATTTAAAAGAAATACAAGCAGAACAGGTATAAAAAGTTTCAGGCACACACTTAATCCTGCTGAGCTGCAAACTGATTTTGAAACACATGAAGGTAAAAGATGAAGTCTGAAGAAAGCTGCATGTGTCCTACAAGCACAGCGAGCGAGAGTTTAGGGAGTCAGAATTGGTCAAAGGTAAAGCAGCCTGAAATGATGTCACCTAAAGACACGGCTCTGCTTCACATTTTCTGGCTTCCCGATTAAAGTAAAGGATGCTGCTCTCAAAAAGGCTGGAGAAAGTAAAAAAAAATGGAAGAGTTCTCACCTATTGAGAGAGAGGGAAGGAGGACAAGACACACTTGTTGGAAGAAAAGCGGACACTGCCAAAGCCACGGACAGAGAAAAATGAAATACGTATATATGGTGGCCTGAGATGCCTCAGCAGAATGCTGAGAACCTCTTTATGGAAATGAATTTCAAAGTCAGACCAATGGCCCTGCGAGCTCCTGAAATACACCCTGCCCAGCCCCACTGCAAGATGCCCCCGTCTTCCTACTGAGCTCACGGCTCCTTCCACCAAGTTTACTGTCAATGGATAATTAGACATTACTCACAAAGAAACCTTCAGATATAAGAAGAGTGAATTGTTGCTTCTATGTAAGTGAGCAGAGTAAACTAGCTAACTGGCTAATTACTCGTTTGTCTGGTGGCTGTTGAAGACAAGCCAACATCAGTGTTAGTGAGTATCAGTCCATGCTGTCTCCCAGTGCTTGTACCTCCACCACATTCAGGTCCCAATGCTAATCTGTCAAATTAGATTTCCCTAAGCTGTATAATCCCCTTTTTGCAACCCAATATTGTGATGTAGAAACCTGAAACTTGGCCTTTGGGAGCCTTCAGGTCTCGTGTTCCTAACTAAACATCGCCATGTGCCCCTCACGTTCCATAACACTTAAAGTATCTGTGGTGTTTCCTCAGTGCTGCCCAGTCTGAACAAAAGCATCTTCCCAAACCACAAAGATCCCTTCAATCCACAGAGACAAAGGCATGTTGTACTGACACAGTGAGAGAATCCCCATGTTCAATGGTTAGGGGTTCCAAAAGAGGCTTGTTAGGATTGGTAATATGGTTACAGTTCATGTAATTTACCTTTTACTGGAAATGATCAGAGTAAATCCTACATTCTGTTATTCTTCAATAATCATCACTGTATCAGTTTGAATGATGTGATCTATCAAGTAAATAAAAGCAGCAACAAACAAAATAACTCATATTTCAAAACATTTATTTCTACTGCTTTCATGAAAACTGGTACATTCTGATGTGATGTTTCTCAGCAAACAGTTATACTCTCACAGTGTGTGCTCATTGACAATTAGAAAAGCAAGACAGAGTGCCCCGCCTTGGGCCCTGAACGCCTCCAGGGGACACAGAGGTGCACTCAGTCAGTCAGACCTGTCTCCCTGCTATCATCCGCCACAGTCCTGAAGAGTTTTAGGAAGACTCAAACATCTTCTTCCTGTCGGCCTTGTCCTCAATGTTCTTACGCCAGTCGCCGATCGCCTCTGTTGGCTGGATCAAACAACAAGAATTGTTAATACACAAAACTGACAAAACACGTCTAGTGCTTGAAACAAGTAAGAACTTAACAGATTTCTGTGAAATGAAAAAAATCTCCATTGAATTCTGTACAGTTTCTTGGCTGGAAAAGTCTTGTGTTGTTTACTGTAAAATATGTCATGTACTACTTTAAAAAAACAGTATGATTATTACTCTTGATTTGTTATTAGTTGAAAAAAGGAGGTTTGTACATAAAGTGCAACACGAAGCTAAGGCGTTAAAGCAAAGTCTATTAGTAGTCACAGCTGTTTGGTAAAAGCTGAAGATGCAAAACAGTGAAAACCTGATGCCAGATGTCTTTGTTAGAGCTTTGAGCCTCACCTCCTCTTTGGTCTCCTTCTTGACCTGCTTCAGGTTGGCCCTCAGGTCCATGTTGACCGTGTGTTTGGAGCCCAGCAGAGCCTTCAGCATGGCGTCAGCAGACATGCGCACCTTCTTCAGGGCGGGCTTCTTCACTCCAGCCAGATCCACCACCTTCAGTTTCAGATCTTCAATCTGGGGCCAGAGAAACAATTATTCATATAATAAACTAAGACTACATGTTAGTAACATCTTTACCAAAGAATGCCATGTTCAACACTTAAAATGTAGAGGTAATACATGCTGCCTAAGGTTACACATTGTTAGAAACCGTTGTCACTTCCTGACAGAGGTTTGTGTTTACATCAACCTGTAGCGTGATGCTCTGTACATCTGCCTAATGTTTTTGTTGTTGTAGGAGCTTCTGTACCTGAACTGCTGTGACGAAGTTGTACCAAGTCGTACCGCTGCAGTCAATAGAAAAATTCAACTGCCTAAGTACTAAGGTCTTTCTGAGACAGTTTTAGGCAAAAAAAATGCCAAAATTCGCATAGGAACATAAAGACAAAACCTTAAATAACATGAGTAGGCAGTTTATCAGCAAAAAAACAACAACAAAAAAACAAAAAAAAAAAGTTGATTTGGGGGTAAGTTTCACTGTGTGTGTGTGTGTGGGTGTGTGTGTGTGCAGGTTGTTTTTTTCTGCGTGTCTCTATGTTGCCCTGTGATGAACTAAATACCAGTCTGTGATTTACGTCTCCTCTTACCCAATTTCTGCCAGAGATAAGCGCCAGTTCCTTAGAGCAGGTTATAGTTTCTTTAGTGCTCAAAGTATATGGTGAACAGCTGACTACAATATTAGGGTATCAAACTATTAGTTTCTTACAGTATTATGGTGTTACAGTCTTAGGGTGTTTTTTTTTCCCAACAGGAGACTTTCTCTTTGGGGTAACTCATATTTCTGACTTGAGTTTATCTCTCTCTACACAGATGTAAACATAAAAGAGCAATAAAAGAGGAACTTTTATCAGTGGAAACAAGCAGTTTCCCCTGATAAGACGACTTGTAGCAAAACATGAAAAGCACATGAGGCAATAAAAATACAGTGTCTCTAGCACTTCCTACAATCTATGGCATATTCTGCCTTCCAAGCCACTGCAAGTCTTCAGCTCCCAAAAAATGCTCATTGACAAAGGTCTGTGTGCAAATGCTCATCCTCCCGTCTCTCTTTCACTTTCACAACCAGCACAAGCCTAGAGATGTCCCCTTGTTCTAACACAGCTCCAGCTATGAAGGCCTTTGAAGGCTATGAAGGCCTTTGAGGGACAGAACTGGCCTGCTGAGCTAGCACAGAGGTTAACCCTTCAACAGCAGGAAGTGACCAGATTCCTTCTTCACAAAGACGACCGACTGACACACAGACTGTGACCACCATGCTTCCTGTCGTTAGCAAAACAAATTAGAACGACTAGAAATAAATTCAAAAGATTGTGAAAATAAGACACTGAATAGCATTAGCACAAATCACACAGCTGAGCATTACACAAAGACCTAAAGCTCAAGTTAACGTGTTGATTTCAGTTCATGTTGGTCACATCTCTTTACCATTTTATTCAATGGAAGAAGTTGTGCTTTTGACAGTCACACCAAATAACCTTAATTTGTTTAACTTTGCACATATTAACATTGTCTTTCCCACAAAGCAGAACCATTCTCCAAAAGAGATTAAAATATCCAACTTTTCAGCAGACTCATTGTTCTATGTATGAAACTAATGATCCAGTCTTATAGTATAGACTCAGAGTATTATATGCAGCATGTTGCATTTGTTTCACACCCAACCCTTGAACAAATTCAATAAATCAGAATATTTGTCCTGGTAATCTGTTTGTCAAATTAGCAGTACCTTTTGAAAATAATAAACTTTAAGCAGTTATTAAACATACTTTTCATTAAACCCATATTTATGTTTTTGAAAATATTTTTTATTGTTATAATGTAATATTCTGATTTTGAATGTTGTGTTTTTATGACTTGCAAATGAAAAATCATCATAATTCAGAAAAATAAAGGCTTTCATACATCCACCTATAAGTGATAAAGTTTCTGAAATAAATGGACTTGTCAGTATTCTAATCTTTTGAATGGGTCTGTACACCCAAAACAAGTTAAAACATATCAGTTGAAGAGCTTCTGAATAGTTACTGAATGAAAATTATTAAATGTGCTAAAAGGAAGGGATTTGTGCTTGTTAGAGTGTGTTTGGAGTCTTTTAATAACTCAGTAATATGCAAACCCATGAAAAGAAAATAATAAGCACATTTTTTCATTGACAATTTGACAAACCTTACAGCAACCTCTACTGGAGTTAAGAATGACAAGGACAAAGAGAAATGACAGTTCTGTGAGGTTTTTAGTCAAATCTCCCTAAACCTAGTTAGAACTGATTGTACATCTACATTGTTGCATTTTTTTTCTTTAATTGCAGTTGTATTTTCTTAACTGAAATCTCAGGTGTCAGTGCATTCTCATTGGTGAGTTGTGGAGTGTCTGTCCACTGTTTTTTTTTTCTCTCCCTGCACAGAACAGATAGAAATTAATACACATGAGCACTCTATGAATCTATGTACAATGTGTGAAATTTGTATTGAAAACATGAACTGGAAATCAAATTAATGGTTTTTGAATATTGGCTTTGAAATGTTTTTAATATATCTGCATCTTTAAGGTTTCCAGAGTTTTGCTCTTGATTGTCTCTCACCTCTTTGTCAGCCTTCTGAACTTTGGCTTCTGCATCATATCTCGCCTCATCAATCTTGTCAATGGCAGCATGGAGTTGCTTGCAGATTTCCTGTGGATTCACAGAAACAATGCATATTTTCAGCAACTTATAAATGCCATAACTAGATTTAATCTGTTATGACAGTTATCTATGACAAAACTATTGAGGTGGTTAGGGCCTGTTCCTGGGCGGCCAGGATGAGGGCCTCTGTGCTGTCCTTGAGTCCAGCTTTTTAGAATTCTTTGTGAAACTCTTTGTACTGTTTTATGGATAAAGGAACTAATAAAAACACCATAAAGATATAATGTAAGAAGGCCTCGAGCCTGAAGGTCATTACATTTACAGATATTCACCCACCATATCTGTCTTCATGTACATGGAGACTTTAAAAAAATGTTATCTGCTCAAAATTCTTACATTTTTGGAGACAAGAGAATGGCAAGGGAGTTTGGGAGTTTGATTCCTAACATGATTCCAGACTCCTAACATGATTCCAGACTCTTAAGGTCTCTAAATCAGATCAGCATCTATTGTCCTAAATATAAGCGCTGCCTTGCTCAGTTTTCTGCTCTCCACTCACTCTCTTGCTATATGATTCAAGCTCCTTTGGTTATTTCCATAAATGTTTAAGGGTGATCTTTGACCTCTTGTTCAAAGATCTGCCCTTTGCTTCAAGTGACATTCCAGACTAAAATGTTCTGAAACATATTTTTCCCATTTAGGGACACAGGAAAGTTCATTGTTTAAGCTTTAAAAACATAACATTGGAAAACACATTTAATTTGGAAAAAAATATAAAATACCTTATAGGTTTCCTTTTCCAAACAGAGTCAAAAATGTTGTCATTAGTGGACCAGTTGTCTGTTACCTGGGATAAATCCCTTTTTAAAGATGCAGTCTCTGAGTTAGACTAAGTGTCAGAAGAAACCTCTCTGGATTCAGTGTGTTTCGCTCTCACCGTGAGGTCTCCACTGAGGTCAGGCGGTGGGCAGTTCTCAGCAAGGTAGGCTTCTTTAGCAGCTGCAATTGACTTCTTCTCCTCCTCGAGCCATTTGGTAGCAATCTGCAGCATCAGGCTCTGTAGAAACAGACCTGAATCAGTCAAAGGAACTGTCCTAACACTTTTTTTCTCCCAATACAAAAAAGTTAAATTCAGACCTTCAGTTGATGCCTGCGGCTCGATGTCATTTTCTTTCCCCTGAAGTTGAGGACAAACAACTAATTAGGTATCAATTGCTATTATTATTTCTTTTTTGAAAATATTGTCAGTTGATGTTACATACTAAACGATATGCCAGTCACTACAGCGACACAGTGACAGGAGACAGGTGGGTCTTTGGTCTTTTACAGCGTGGTTAACAGAAATGTACAGAACGGGTTTCAACTAAGCTGGTTGGTTATTCTCGCTTACACACTTAATGCTAAGCTACCTGCTCTTGAAAGTCCTAACAGCAGAAAACCGACACACAGACAAAACTGTGTTGGGGAAAAAAAAAAAAAACAAGTTGGGGAAAAAAAAGGTACTTGGCAAAACAAAAGTTAAATTTGCAGCTAAATGCATTGTTTTTTATGTCTAATAATACTGTAATCTATAACACATTCATTTGAGTTTCATTTAGCAGTTGAATTTTACCTATGATGACAAAATCACTCATCAGAATGTTTAAACAGAGTTTGTATATTTTAAAAACTAAGAATAAGACATTTACAGGCGTGTAAAGAGAAATGAATCAGCAAGAAAAGGAATCCAAAGTTTCTAACAGCAGGAGCAACTGGCAACTGGTTTTAAATAAAAACGGCTTCACCCTACTTACATTATAGATATCTCATATTAGTTTACAACTTGACATATTAGTTACTAAAGATGTTTCTAATTATATTTTAATGAGACAAAATACCTCTCTGAGATATCTTTACTCTCATTCTGACTATATAAATATCAGATTTTCCTATAAGTTGTATGGAAGTTTCAATTCAAAATATCTGTAATGAATTACTGAAACATATATTTCAGATATCAACACTTAAATTATAATTAATCACAAAGTAAATTTTTAAGTGCAGTGTGTGTATATTTTTTTTCTTCTTTTTTTTACATTTACACAGTTTGAGTTCTCCTCATATCCTGCAGTGCTGAACTCTTTCTAAATTGTTGCATTTTCTTTCAATTTTTTGCTGGACACACAAAATTCTGCAGGCAACTGTTTTTGTAGCTCAGTGGCAGCATAAGGGGTCATGCAGTTCTTAATTCAGATATCTAAAATTCTCATTTTGACAAATCTTAATTGCATTTGAGAAATCTTGAATCATAGTGATGTGTGACCCGGTGACATCATTAGAGAAATCTTCAACTAACTGAAGATGTTCTGAATAATTTGTAATTCAAGTCAGATTTTTAGTTAGAATGTGAATGCAGATGTCTCAAATGATCATTTAGGTTAAAATGTAACTGAAGAATTTTTACATATCTAGAAAATGTTCACAGATAGTCAGGAAAAAAAAAAACAAAAAAAAAAAAAACTATTTTATGTTAAGACAGCCTGCCACACAGCTAAGGCTGAAATGGAATCCCAACAATTTGCACCATATAGATTGGTATATCTTGTATACCAATTAATCAATCATATATATATATATATATATATATATATATATATATATATATATATATATATCAATTAATCAGTTGCCATCTTAAGATAACAAATGACACGTTTTAAGGAAGGCTGGGGAAGATATAGACAGAAGTCAAAGCTGTCAAAGAACCTTTATGAAACCTGTTCTTTAGTTTTGATAAAGAAAAAATCAGATTTTGATGCATTGGATTTATTTAGAGAATTCAAATCTGAATGATCCTGGGATAAGAACATAAAATATCAACAGAAGCATCTGGAGTTTAATACTTACTCAGACATCTTGGCTGTGCTTGATCTTCACACCCTGTTCAGACAGAGAAAACAGTTTTACGGACACAAATTCTGCTTGTTATTGATTAGGTAATCATTACAGGTCTGCAGGGAAGAGAACATGTTTTAGAATAAATATAATCAAGCTCTCAAAGCAGCCAGTTTTAGCTGAGTGGGGCCTCAGTCACTGTGCTAAACAGCTGGGCCTATGGAAGACGTATCGCCTGAGACTGAACTGGTAACAGTGAGCCGAAGGTCTGAGCACAAATAGACACCAGCACTGGACAAAAATGTGGCTCACAGCAGCGAGTCGCAGTAGTTCAAATGCTTCAAACGTCTTAAGGTCAATACAGTTACTGACACCAACCGGGTCCAGAAGCAGGCTTACTAAACATAACGCCAAGCAGGAATCAAAAGGAATAATTCAATCAAGAATAAAACTTATTGCAATGAAAACTAAATGCAATAATTTTATCTGATATAAAGCAATAAACTTTAAATTAGCTCATCCTGGTCTGTATGTGAATGGAAGCTGAATGTTTTCTCAGTATCTGGCACTTTTCACCATGTATCAAAGTGTCATGCATTGGTCAACAATTTAAAAATATTCAGTCAAATTCATTTTCAGGATCCTCTGTTCTCCTACCTGTAAAGCAAATCTAAAGGTGACTGTCAGTGCTGCTTTCTGGCTGAGTGAACGGAGCAAGCTGCAGGAGTGATGAGGACAAGGAGCTGCAGCAGAAGAAGAGGGAGATACTGCCAAGTCCCAAACAGTAAAGAATAAACGTATATATGGTGTTAAGTGCCACCTCAGCTGGAAAGCCAGACCTCTTTATGGTAGCAGAGCCACTTCAGACCAATGGGCCGACAGCATCCAGAAATACCACTGCAACTTGCTGCTGAACCTCATAAATTTTGGCTGCAGGAAATCACTTCACTACCAGATTGCCTCCGTCAAAGACAAGCAGGACAGAAGTAATTGTTACACCAACAGTCAGCCAGGCTAGCTGGGCTAATCCATACCAGGAGAACGAGACTCAACATCCAGCAGCCTCTGAGGCAAAGGTTCTACTAATGAAGCTGCAGTAGACAGTTATGGAAATGACATTAGGAGGTTAGAGAAGCTTTTAGTTCAATAGCAAGAGGAAATGATTACAAACCAAGGGAAATACTGATCTGAGATCTTCTTCCAGTAATTGGAGTGAGATCAGGATGATCCGATGAACGTGAAATATTAAACAACTGTAAGCATCTCAGAAAATAACGTTATCTTGTGGAAAATTGATATTTTCACACAATTTGATTTACGTTTTATTCTGACCAGATACCAATAACTTGATTACTCAGTCATCATGTTGAATATTACTGTTTGAGGCATGTTCAGGAGGACAAATGCAAATTATAAAATCAACATAAGAATCAATATATTATTTAAAAAAAATACACATTTTGCTAATCAACTGAAAATGTGACATATTTTAGCTGTCTATAAGTTAGGAACTTTTTAAGTTCTGGTTAATTCAGTTAATCTTAATAAATGCCTGTTTGTCTTGCATCATACATGGAACAAATGATTGCCTCTCCAACGATGAAAATGTAAGAAACCTTGAGATGTTACCTGCAGCTGTGGTAAACAACATTTTGGTTCCAAGAAAATAAAACGCATTCTTTTTAGAAATTGCAAACTTTTTTGACAGTAGGTCAATGAGTTGAAATCACAAACATGGTTTTCCTTGCAGCATATGCAAATATATCTTAAAATCTTTAATATTGTCCTGATTAGGATATACCAGAAGTAAAGCAAAAATGTATTTATTTTTTTTCTGGACAGTACAAAACCCACAGACCGTAGCAGGTCCTGATAACATCCTGCATGTGATAACTGTTTCTGTCAGCTTAAAGAGTTCATTTCTCTCAGTAAAGCCACCGTCCACCAACCACTCTGCCTGGCTGACAAACCAGTTTGATAATAATTAGTTTTAAATGGCTTGTTAAACACACATATTGTCATTGACTCTATGGCAATCCCTCATACAGAGCATGCATGTAGTGACAGTGGAGAGAAAAAAACTCCCTTGAGCCAGGTTCTAGCAGAAGCAGAACCTGGCTCAGTACAAGTGGCCGTCTGCCACGACAGACTGGGGTTTTGAGAAGACGGAGCAGATCTGTGATGATCTGGCCGTAATAAAACAGTGAAACAGAGTCCAGTGGACACCAGACCTTCTGAGGAAACTAAACAAAAACATTGTTATGTTCCTGCACGACAGAGTGGTGGTGGAGAGTGTGTTAATGTACTGCTTCTCAGCATGGCTCCACAGCTCCGATAAGAAGAACAAGGGGCCCCCTGCAGAGGCTACTACGGGGAGCCACAAGGGTCATTGGAGAGTCCCAAACCCTCTGTCCAGGATTGGCTACTTTTAGCAACACTGAAGTAACTTTGAAGAAATGACATCTCCACAAACTGGGATCAATCCAGTCTTCATATCAGGCAAACAAAAAGGGAGGAGATAGTAGTGGGTGTGGAGGCAGCAGAAACAGAGACTGGAACTGTCACTGTCCATCACCCAGGGTTTTCCTTTGTATTCTATAAGCCTAGCAGGTCACCAGGCTTTACTCGTGCCCCCACCACATTTGTTTTAGCTATTGCATTCCCAAATTAGTCTTTGATACAATACCTGAGAAAATGTTTCCAGTTTCACTGGTCTTCAATAATTAGCCTTAAATGTGATTTCTCACATTTTACTTGGTGATTTGGACTTGCCTGGCTCATAGTGTCTAATATATTACTGATTTATAAACATATTATGTCCAATTGAAAGTTTTATTCTGGAACCAGAAGAGTCACCTTCCCCCAAGACAGAGAGGCCAGTGAGAATTGCAAGTTTGGAATTTCCACAAAGATTATACAAACAGGGTTGTTAGGTTTATGCAAATGAACTTAATATTAAAAAAAATGCTTACTTGATGTCTTGAGGCTGCTTTCATGTTGGCTTCACTGCACCTGAAAACAAACAGAAAAACTCTAAATAAGGAAAGAAGTGTCAAGTAAGAAAAAGGATGAACAAAAACAGTCGACACTTTTTTACCTTTTGTTGATCAGGATCAGCTGAAATGTGTGTATGACTGGAAAGAATTGACTTTTTCATTACATGGCTAGAGATGACATGATGTAGTGTTAGTGCATTTTACTTAAAGAATGATGACATGATGACCTTGATCATTTTCCACAGTTTCATTGATTAGCAGAGTTCTGACAGAACTGGACAGCGTCCTGCGGTTCAGGACCATTGGGTGGCCCTCTGCTGACCCTGTGTGGCTGACAGGATTGCTGAGGTAACTATACACTGAGAAACATTTTAAGCTGTGACAGAAAGTCAAGAAGCAACTTTTATCTTCTAATAAACACCAAATCAATAAAAGATTTGTAGCATGACTGGAGTTAGTTTAAATTTCTTTCACAGTTAAATGATTACTTTTCAATGTTGGAACAATAAGAGAGAAATAATGATAGAGGACATGGAATCTTGTACTGTTGTAGACATTCTCTTGTCATTCCTTTCTATATTCTATATCATGGTATAATACTAAGGATAAAAGGTAATTACGACCCACATCTGCACTTTGATTCTGGTATCTAAACAATACAGTGAACTAGACTAATAAAGCTGTAGCTGCTACACATTGTTGAGGGTTAGGGTCTCGTTTTTTGTGGTTAGCTATGAACAAACAGAAAGTGCTGGATTTTTGTTGAATGTTGAAGGAAACTGATGATTGAGTATTCTACCAAATAAACATGCCTAACACTCTGCAACAATAAAATGTTGGTTTTCACGGAACTGTCAATGCAAAGACCCTTTACAGCGGGGGCCCCCAAACTCCGGCCCGCGGGCCGGATCCGGCCCGCCACGTCATTTGGTCCGGCCCCCTGAACAATGCCGGATCCGGCCCGCCTGCTCATACCAGAGAGCATTCAGTGTTTTTTTTCATATATTGTATTTTCCGGTTTATATGTGGATTTTTCTTCAACCACCAGGGGGCTTTTGAGCAAATGTGAAACTTACTTTCCCTCAATGGAATATATACTCGTCAGTCACCGTTTCACTCACGGTTTTTTCCATTTGCATTCTGGGTAAAAATTTACCCAAAAGTGTCGTCGTCTCCCCCCCCCCCCCCGTCGACAAGAATTTCTTTGTTTTTTTTTACTGCAAAAACTAAGACCACAGAAAGGAACAGCTATGTGGCCCTCGCAGGAAAAAGTTTGGGGACCCCTGCTTTACAGGCACACATTTAATGCATTAGACTGATGTTAAAGAAAAATGAGATAAGTTTGGCAAACTTTGTCACGGGTCCTAATGGAGTTTAATGCATCTGTTTTACAGTGTTGTGCCTCACTGAGTTCAAAGAAAAGTTACTATGTATGAAACAGAACATGTTTACATAAAAAAAAGCTTGTTAAAATTGCAAAATAAATGCATCTTTACCCATCTAAACTATTGAATCCAATTTATTTTTTTTTAAATCTCACATTGATAAGTAAGGAACAAATGAGGGACAGTATTGGGTTTGGTGTCTTAGATGAGGATGCTTGTTGCCTAAAAACGTTGTGGCTTGAATAACACACCATCCAGTGGACGGTCAACCATTCTAGCTAATGCACTATACAAATGTACAATAACAAAAGCAGGCTGAAACACACTCATTTATGAAACAAAAGATGATTTGATGGAGAAAGTAAGACATTTCAGAAGCGTGTAAACAGCCCAGAGCAACTGGAGGTGTAGAGTTCAGTTCTTTAAGCGCTTTCAAACATCTTCTTCCTGTCAGCTTTGTCCTCAATGTTCTTACGCCAGTCACCCACTGCCTCTGTGGGCTGAAGCACACACACACACACACACACACACACACACACACACACACACGGTCAACTGTTATCAAAACACAACAGCTGGTCCAAGCTTCCTTTGACAAAACCCTCACCTCCTCTTTGACCTCCTTCTTGACCTGCTTCAGGTTGGCCCTGAGGT